CACCCCCTAGTGTCACTGTTGTGTGTTATTTCCTTATGCACCGATTCTCTGTGTCACACAAACCATGTGTTCCTTGACCCCATATTCATTATTATTGCCTTCTTAATAAACACCCCTAATCTTTCTCCTTTCCTTTCCTCTCTTCAATATTTACTTCCTCTGTGTGGGTAGTGCCTGTAAAATAGACTGATTTGATTTTTGATGTAGTTTAGTTTTGCTGGGATTCCCTTTGAGCCTAGTAACAGGGGGAGCTCAATGAAGGTGTCAAACCCTATGCTTGAAGGAGACAAGGGTACTCCTTATAGACAGAAAGGAGATATCTTGGTTGTAGAGCAGTTATCAGAGACTCATGCTGTGTGAACAGTTGAGTGAGCCAAACGATACTACTTAGTGCTGAATTTTACTATTAAAAATATAGTTGGACTATATCTAAAACATTTTAAAGGAAAGAAATTGAAAATGTTAACTTGGAGACTTTATGAAATAAATGTATTCATATATATGAATTTCACTGTTTTCTAAGTCCAAAGAGCAAATTATCAACTAAATATGTTTATTTTTAATACAAATACTCTAGGTGAATTGAAAGAAATCAAGCAAGATATCTCCAGCCTGCGTTATGAACTTTTGGAAGACAAGAGTCAAGCAACTGAGGAATTAGCCATTCTCATTCATAAACTCAGTGAGAAACTGAATCCCAGCATGCTGAGATATGAATGATACACTCACCTGGAATCATGGCTTTGACTATAGCACAAATGTTGGCAATAATATTTCTAAGTATGAAATACTTGAAAAACGATGGTGTAAAGTTTTAGCGTTAACTACCTTTATCATGTGAATCTTTAAAAGTTAGGTCTTAATGATTTTCTTGTTTTATCACATGAAAATGCATTTAATTGTCTGCCTTGACATTGCAAACAATGCCATACCATTGTATTTAAAAGCCCAATATTGCCTACATCTCTGATGTTTTTGTTCATTTTAGATATCATGTAATTCTTTGCACTATCTGTTTGCCTCCAAGAGACTATAAAGTCCTTGGGACAGGGACCATGTCTTATTCATCTTTGTGTCTCCAGCATCTAGGACAGTGCCTGGTACATAGTAGGTGCTCAATAAATGTTGTTGAAACCAACTGAACTGCCAATAAAATATAAATAAAAATAAAGAGTCATCACTATGTAGCCTATCTTCCCTTGTCCAAGTGCTGAAAGATTTTTTTTTAATATAGAAACTGAAGAAATTTTACAACCAGCCACAACTAGGTGAGATTTTCTTGGAATTTTAGCATCAATGATAATCCTAGAACCAATGAGCCAAGTGAAGAATTTAACAAGAAATGAATTAGAAAATATAATGACATATTTAAGTTTCATAGAATTATTCAAAACAACACATTAAAATTTTTTCTAAAATATATACTGTTTGCTTTCTGTGTTAGACTTCCATTTGTTGTTTTTGAGTAATGTAAATTTTGTCAGTGGGTGGTGAGGTTTTGTTTTTTGTTTTTGTTTTTGTTTTGACAGGCAGGAGTGGACAGTAAGAGAGAGAGACAGAGAGAAAGGTCTTCCTTTGCCGTTGGTTCACCCTCCAATGGCCACCGCGGCCAGCGCGCTGCAACCAGCGCACCGCGCCGATCCGATGGCAGGAGCCAGGTACTTCTCCTAGTCTCCCATGGGGTGCTGGGCCCAAGTACTTGGGCCATCCTCCACTGCACTCCCTGGCCACAGCAGAGAGGTGGCCTGGAAGAAGGGCAACCAGGACAGAATCCGGCGCCCCGACCAGGACTAGAACCCGGTGTGCCAGCGCCGCAAGGTGGAGGATTAGCCTAGTGAGCCGCGGCGCCGGCCCGGTGAGGTTTTTTTTTAAGTTGGGTGTTATGCAAAGTTGTGTTCTGTAATAACCTCCTAACATCTGCCTCTGATATTTCAATAAACAAAATAAGAGAAAAGATTGACTTCATATCTTGCCCATTAGTTTTGGGCAAGAGTTTTGAGGATTTGCTCATGGGAAGAAGTAGAAAAGAGCAGTGACTGTCTAGAAAGACATGGCCAGGCAACACCAGGTCTGTTCTGCTTCCTTTTGAGGCCTCTCTCGCCATCATCAAAGATAATTACTGACATCTTTTTTCTAATAAAAGGGTTCCAATTCTACTTTCTGCACAGAGTGGTCTGTACTGTGTCTGAATTTGACTGACTACATGACTGAACTGAATACTGGTAATCTACAACACCTCATGATGTTAATAAGAAAGGACTTTAACACTGTAAAGAGCTTTAGCAGTCTTAAAAACCATGATACTTCAAAATAGTTAGGTTCACACCAGGAAGGCTTTCCAGATATTTCAAAGGTAAAATTGAATGTTAAATGGAACTACATAAAATTCTTTAAAAATTACTTCTGAATCTCTAATTTTTTGAGAGTCAAAACAAATTTAAAACTTTATACATCTTGTTCTACCATTATAAAATATTTCATTAGCTTTTGTGCTATGCTAATACTATTTGAAACACTTTTCAAATTTTATGTATTTCATGTTATGCCTCTGAACTGAATAAAATATTGAATTTTTCCATTGTTATGTTACTATACTTTCTATTAAAATGGTGAAGATATGAAGTTTCTGTAATAGATGATACTTTGAGTTTTGTAGTATAGTTTAGGATTCCATGTGTGGGAGTTTTTGCTTGTAGCTAGGGAACAGAATAAGTAATTTTCATATTTGAGGTTGGAAAAAATGCTCAGTGAAAAAGTGGCAGATTTGAGTGGGGACAATTAGCCAGAGATCCTTGGAATTTGGAGATCAGAGAGGTATGAAGATGAAATTTATGGCATCCACACCATGGGTGTACATAGGTGGCTTTTTTTTTTTTTTTTTTTTTTTTTGGTCCATGCCTCCCACAACTGTAGCACTGTTAACACAGGGGTTTTATTTACTAAACTATATGCAGCTGATATATTTGAGATATTTCACCTTTCTTCTTCTCCATGGTTTCCAGATAATAGGAAGAAAGATATAACAAAGTGTAGTAGGTGCCGTTGATGATACTGATGGTCTGCCCAGCTCCCTTCTACTGGGCCAATGCACCTGTTGTCTCCCAGCTACTCCTCAACAGTTCCCAGCTAATCACTTCCCCAGGGAGTTGCCCTCAACTGAAAGGAAAAGAAGCAAACTTGTCTTGGGTTCTACACCTCCTGCTCCCCAGAACCAGTCAGACTGGGGTAGGGCATAAAAAACTGCCATCCTCCCCCTTCTTTTTTAAGATTATTTATTTGAAAGACAGAGTTAGAGAGAGGGAGGAAGAGAGAGACTTTCCAGCTGCTGGTCCAGCCCCATGTGGCAACAATGGTGAGGGCTGGGCCAAGCTGAAGCCAGGAGCTTCTTCCAGATCTCCCACGTGGTTGCCAGGGCCCACACACTTGGGCCATCCTCCACTGCTTTCCCAGATACATTAGCAGGGAACTGGATAGGAAGTATAGCAGGTGGGGCTCGAACCTGCACTCCTATGGAATGCTGACATCACTGGTGGTGGCTTAACACTCCGTGCTGCAATCCCAGCCCAAAGCTGGTTCCCTTGACTCAAGGTTGAGCCAACCTTTCCATGTAATTCCTGCTTTAGAGCCCATGAAAGCATTAGGCTGAAGCCAGATTCAAGCTGAAATGGTATCTCTGTTGCTTCATTCCCCACCTTTTCCTGCTCTCCTCTTTTTCCTGAGGGCATTCCTTCAATGAATCACTGCATTCAAATCTCCTTAGTTGTTGTTAAGTGGTAAGGCATTAATGTGGCACCATAGGGCAAGGTGAGGCTTAATACTTTTAAGATTAAAGATAGCTCAGGGTCAGCAAGTCCTTGCTTTACTCATTGTAACAGGTCTGTCAGGAAAGCAGAGCTCAGAGAAGGTGGGACAGCATGGAGAAGGGAGCATTTTAACAGGACCAAAGCACCTTACCTAGAAAAGGATGTCAAGGTGCTTCCAGTTAATTAGAAGATTGTCAAAGCCCTGTGATTTTTCTTGTACAGAGATGTACTTTTTGGCTGTTTGCTATTCTCACTTCTTTTCTCTGTTACAGATAAGGTAAAGGAACAAGTTTGGCACTTTATAAAGTGCCTGCTGCATTACACTTACTGAGTACTCTTGCTTTTATGTAATTCATGGTTTGTTGAAAAGCTTGGATTCATAGACTCGAAGTAAAAGTGGGTACTGTGAAAAGTGGTATCCAGTGTCTTCAAAGAGTTCTGTGCACTCTAAGAACTTAGAAATGGCCTAAGTATGTTGTGGTTATTACAAGAAAACTAGTCCAATTTAGGATAACTGAATTGTCCAACCATCGCCAATATTTTTATATTCCAAATGTGTCAGTCAAATAAAAGCAGTTTTTATAAACAGGAAGGTAAATTGCCTGATGGACAATTGCTACAGAGAACTGAAGCTATAGTAATGAATTGTGGCCTGGGACAATTCTCTTCACTTCTCCTGTCTTCCTAACTAGTTAAGTCCAACACGTTGGGAACCCTACATGCAGAGTTCCTGGTTTCTGGGTCAGGGGTGGGAGGTCATAGAGGTGGTTCAGGGAGTTGATACCATCATCCAAGATGGTAATGATCGGCATTACTGTCTATTTAAAAAAAACAAAAACAAAAACAAAACAGATCAACCAGCTGGCGCCACGGCTCAATAGGCTAATCCTCCGCCTGCGGCACCAGCACCCTGGGTTCTAGTTCCGGTCTGGGCACCGGTTGCTCCTCTTCCAGTCCAGCTCTCTGCTGTGGCCCGGGAGTGCAGTGGAGGATGCCCCAAGTCCTTGGGGCCTGCACCCACATGGTAGACCAGGAGAAGCACCTGGTTCCTGGCTTCGGATCAGTGTGGTGCAGTGGCCACAGTGGCCATTGGGGGGTGGGTGAACCAGCGGAAAAAAGGAAGACCTTTCTCTCTGTCTCTCTCTCTCACTGTGCACTCTGCCTATCAAAAAAAAAAAAAAAAAGATTCACCTTATATGGGCTTCTATAAATTATTTCCTTTAAAACAAGAGTTTCAGAGTTTCCAAATTTGTTCTATGTGTTAATGAAAACTAGTGTGTATGCTTATGACTCAGACACTCAGCAGATCACCACTAACTGTGTTGATAGTTTTGACTTAAATACAATTTAAATTGCTTTTTTTTTTAAGAGATATTTTGTTTTTATTTATTTGAAAGGCAGAGTTACAGAGAGAGGTAGAGAAAGAGAGAGAGAGAGAGAGAGAGAGAGAGGTCTTCCATCCATTGGTTCATTTCCCAAATGGCTTCAGTGACTGGCACTGAGTCAGGTCAAAGCCAGGAGCCAGGAGTTTCCTCTGTCTCCTACGTGGGTGCAGAGGACAAAGCGCTTAGGCTGTCCTCCACTGCTTTCCAAGGCCATTAGTAGGGAAGTGGAACAGGTGGGACTCAAATCGGCGCCCATATGGGATGCTGGCACTGCAAGGGTTTAACCCGTTGTACCACAGTGCTAGCCCCTTAAATTGCTTGTATTTTTAATCATTTTAATTTTTTACTCATATTCATGGCTTTAATACCACAACACAAGGCTATAGATTAATGAGGTGCATACCAAATTCTGCAACTTTATCTCAAGGTGATCTTTATCATGGCCAAGAAGAAATCATCTGTTGGTTTTCAGGTAAAACACCAAGTTGTCTCTAGGACCTTAAAGTATGTTTACTAAGAAAAAATACAGTGGCCATTTTGTATAACTTGGCATTCCTGTATTATGAATGAAAACTTCCCACCTGCTGATTTTTTGAGACATGCTTAACATTAGTAGTTTGAAACCTTTGCTGATCTTTTAGAACCAAAACAGAACATACAGAATAAAGTACTTGCTTTTTTATATGAAAAATGACAAAATTTCAAATATCATTTTGCAAACTCTTTTCATCTATTTTTGAGGCAATGTCATGGCCTTATTTTAGTGTTTCAAAATAATGTGATTTCAAAATAAATTCTTTTGCACAATTAATTTAAACAGTGGGCATCACTTGTTAAATAGAAACTAAGAATTGCCAATATTTGTCTTTATTACAAACATTGTAAAGATCACATAAAGATGAATTTTATAATACTATCTTAAATACTATAGCAATTTAAAGTAAAACAGCTTTTCTTTAAAAATTACCTTTCAATCATATAAAATGAAAAATGAGACAATTATTAAAATCCCTAAGGACTTCTAAAGATTATATAGTACTTGGAAATATTATACAGTGGCATGAAGGGCTGTTGTTGTGGCATAGTGGGTAAGGCTGTCACCTTTGACTCTGGAGTCACATATGGGCACCAGTTTGTGTTCTGGCTCTCCACTTTTGATCCAGCTCCCTGTGAATGCACCCGGGAAAATGCCGAAGATGGCCCACGTGCTTGAGCCACAGCACCTATGTGAAAGACCTGGATGAAGTTCCTGGCCCAGCCCTGGCCATGGCAGCTATCTGGGGAGTGAACCAGTGGATGGAAGATCCCTCTCTCTGTCTCTCCCTCTCTCTTTGTGACTTACAAATAAATAAGTAAATCTTAAAAAAGAAAAAATAAAGTGCCATGAAAGGGGTTTGTGAATCCAAGTGGGAAAACATTGACGGTTCCTAAAAATCTGATCCAGCCGTAGAATACGCTTCATATTCCCCTCAAAAGGTTGTTTTCTAAAAAATAATTTCCACTTAATCCAGCTTTTATTATTTTGATTGTTTGTTAAAATGAAAATAAAAAAGTAGTAAAAATGATATCCATAGCACTTTCCCTAAGTTGTTAGCATGCATTGTCAGGGCCTGAGAAGGGACACAGAAAAATCATCCATGGGAGGAGCTGGTGCCCGCTGACTTAGCCCAGCCTTTATCAGTACCTTGCAATCCGAAGCCAGGAGCCAGGAGCCAGGAGCCTCTTCCAGGTCTCCCACGAAAGGGCAGGGACCCAAGGATTCAGCCATCTTCTACTGCTTTCCCAGGCCATAGCAGAGAGCTGGATTGGAAGTGGAACAGCCGGGTCTCGAACCAGCACCCATATGGGATGCTGGTGCTTCAGGCCAGGGCATTAACCCACTGAGCCACAACACCGGCCCCAAACAATTTTTGATGCATTTCTTAATACCCCTTTCACATAATTGTAATCATGTAATCCCCTGCTTTGTGTCCTCTTTTGCTATTTTCTGAATGCTTTCTAAATTGTTATATAGCCTTCATTATATTCCCTTTCAATGGCTATGTAATAGTCCACAAAGTGGATGGATCCACCATTTCCTATTTTTGGACAGTTAGGTCCCTATTTTAAATAATGCTTCAAATGACCTCTTACCTACTTTATCTTGTTTCCATAGACTGAGTATTCCCATCGGGACTACAGGGTGAAAATATAGCCACACATTCATAGGTATGGATACATATGGCTAAGCTGCTTTTGAAAAGCATCTTATGGTTTAAAATATCACAGCTGAGCACAAGTTTCCTTTACACAATATTGTGTCATCATTTACATTTTTTCTAATTTGAAAGGCAAAATGAAAAGTATTACGCTTTAATATTACTGATTACAAGGTAATAGATTTCAATGATTATTCAATATCTATTTTCTTTATGAATTATGTATGTTTTGTATTTGTTGTTGGAATTACTGTATTTCTTTTAATCATTAATTTCTATAAAATTTTCAAAGGTTAATTCTTTGCACATATTTTTCCCCTTTTGGCTTATCTTTAGATATCTTTGTGACACATCAGAATGTGTAATCTTCCTTTTTATGTCTCTTCTTTCCTCTTTAATTTCTTCTGACCTTTTGAGATCAGATGGTTCCTTTCTGCTGTGGGCTGAACTGTGTGACCCAGCACAGATGCTGAAGTTCTAACCTGGAGTATCTCAGATGTAGCTGGAGACAGTCTCTAAAGAGGTAAAGGATTTAAAATGAAGTCATTAGATTGGGCCCCAATCCAATATGACTGATGTCCACATAAAAAGAGGAGGAGATGAGACACAGATACAGGCAGAAGACCATGTGAGGATGCAGGGAGAATTTGACAACTTTCCACAACTAAGATTTTTCTGAAGAGATCTATTAACAAATGGGATTGTGTGTGTGTGTGTGTGTGTGTGTCTGTGTTTATGTTATACAGGGAAGTTACATTCTGATTTGCAATTAACTATTCAAAAAGTACCACTTGTTGAGTTCAGAAGAAATTTTATTCATGCACTTAATCGAAAACAACACATCTGAATAGATTGAATATGGAAGCAGATCTGAGACTCCTGCTGTCTACTACCAAGTTGCAAGGATTTGCACCCAAAACTGGTGCGTTTATTTATTTATTTTTTTAGCTTCTCATATAGGAAAAGCAACTAATTCTACATTACTCGTTTATTTTTTTTATTTGGAAAATATAGTTATGAAAACACTTATGTAATGGCTTTTTTATAAAATGTTTTCAGTTCTAATGTCTAAACCAGTGAATAGCGATAGATTATTCACATAACCAAAAGGTCTCTGAGGTCCTCAATAGATTTTTTTTTAAAGATTTACTTATGGGGTCGGCGCCGCGGCTCACTAGTCTAATCCTCTGCCTAGCGGCGCCGGCACACGGGGTTCTAGTCCCGGTTGGGGCGCCGGATTCTGTCCCGGTTGCCCCTCTTCCAGGCCAGGTCTCTGCTGTGGCCAGGGAGTGCAGTGGAGGATGGCCCAGGTGCTTGGGCCCTGCACCCCATGGGAGACCAGGAAAAGCACCTGGCTCCTGGCTCCTGCCATCAGATCAGCGCGGTGCGCCGGCCGCGGCGGCCATTGGAGGGTGAACCAACGGCAAAGAAAGACCTTTCTCTCTGTCTCTCTCTCTCTCACTGTCCACTCTGCCTGTCAAAAAATAAAAAAAAATAAAAAAAATAAAAAAAAGATTTACTTATGTATTTGAAAGTCAGAGTTACAGATAGGCAGAGGTAGAGAGAGGTCTTCCCTCCTGGTTCACTCCCCAAACGGCCTCAACAGCTGGAGCTGCGCTGATCCGAAGCCAGGAGTCAGGAGTTTCCTCCAGGTCTTCCCATGAAAGTGCAGTGGTCCTAGGACTTGAGCCATCTTGTTCCGCTTTCCCAGGCCAGAGAGCTGGATCAGAAATGGAGCAGCCGGTTTCGAACCGCCGCGTGTAAGGGATGCTGGCACTGCAGGCGGGGGCTTTACTCGCTACCCCACAGCGCTGGACTCCTGAAAAGATTTTTTTTAAGCATTTGTAGAACTGCAGATGTCAGCTAACGCTTCATACGGTACAATCTAACTCCTGCGGGACGCCTTGCAGCGTCAAAGTGAACTAGGTCGCTAAAGCGAACTAGGTCAGCATCTGCCCGGGTTCCACATTAATGCTTCTCCTCAGACGGCTTAGCTCGGCGCAGCGGTGAGGGCGGAGCCAAGACTGCATCTCCGGTCTCTCTGGAAACCGCCCTTCCCCATCCACTGCATCTTGGTCTCCATTCCTTTCCGCCTCTGATTGGAGCGGGCTGTAAGTGGGCGGCCCTTCGGGTGAGGGGCGGGACTTCATTTTGTCTCGGGGCCAATCGCGTGAGCGTGCTTACGTCATGCCAGGCGCCGCTGCCCAGCCTCCCGGCCGGAGCTTTGTCTACAGAGGCCGTAGTAGCTGTTGTTGTCCTTTGGGCGGGACAAGGGCGGGTGCCTGGTTGCTGGCAGCCGGTGTCCCTCCTGTTTCTGTGTGGCGCTGTCCCATGAGTCCGTGTCACCGTCATGGATCTGGTTTTAAATCGTGCGGATTACGTACAGGTATAGACGAGCCCGCTCCCACAGGATTTTGTTCCTTTCACTGACGTCGTGGAGGGGTTGCCGGGAGCGGGTGCTGCCCACCGCCGTTCATATTCACAGGCAGCTCGGAGTGGTCTGGGAGGGTCTGCCGGGGCGTGGGAAGGGGCGGCATACCTCCCCGCGGGGCTGTCGCCTGCCTGGCCCTGACGCGATCGCATCCCAGTTTTCTTCCCGTGGCTCTTCTGCTCCCCGGCTGCCGCTGCCCGCGGTCCCCGAGTCTGCTGTCTCCCATCTCTACGCAGTCTCCTTTCCCAGGCTCCAGAGACTTGTTTCTTACTGTGAGCTGACCGCATCAGCCAGATCGTAATAAAAACCACAACCATTTTATTGAGCATCTGATCAATAGCTTAGCATATATAAATATTTAATCATCATAGTACATGCCAACATATGTAATATTATATATATATTTATATAAAGTCAACGTCAATTTATTGTTAAAGTCATGCCAAAAATGCTTAGCGGGTGCCGATGGTCACCTGCCACACTCGCACCAGGTTGTCTGTGTAGCCAGCAAACAGGGTCTGGCCATCAGCAGACCAGGCCAAAGAGGTACACTGGGGTGGCTCTGCCTTGCTGCTGGTACTAACTTACTGTTTCAGTTCATGTACGATGATCTTGTCTGCTAAGTCCTAGATCTTGATGCTAGGGCCTGTGGCAGCACATAGGTAATATTGTAAATGCCTACCCAGGGGCTCAGAGAAGGGAAATAATTCTTAACATTTATGGAGTTGCTGTTTGAATCAAAGGCTTGGAGTGCAGAACTGGTGGCTTTTCTGTTATCCACAGTGCCTTTTACGATTTCTTTCGGCCTTAGAACTGTCTATCCCAATTCCCTATCTCCTCCATTTTCAGCCATCCTATTTTAGCTAATGGTGGAAAAGTTTACCCAGTCTCCCTGGGAGTTATGCTAGGTACTTCTCACCTTAATATCTCCTATATCCAACCAGTCACTACACTGTGTTGCTTTCATCTCTCTAAGGTCTCTTCAGTCTTTCCTATTTTTCCCCATCTCTGTTACCCTCAGTTTGGTCTCTGGTCTTCTCTTACTTGGATAATTGATATAGCTTCCCAATTGAGTTCAAGGCTTCCAGCTTCACCTCCATCTTTCATGTCATTTGATAAATTGATATTTTAAAATACAAGTCTAAGCAGATTAAACTTTAATACTGGCTGAAGTACAGAGTAAAATCATATTCACATTTTTTCACACTGTGTTGTTTTCTCCATCTTCTCTCCCTTTAGTCTCATCCTCCTCCTCTAACTGTAGACCACTAAGTGACTTTTTTGTGCTGAACAAAGCATGCTGTTTCCATCCTGTGATTCTTTTGTAAAAATGTTCATTGTCAGTTAGATTAGATGTCATTGCCAAGAGCATGCTTGATACTTTGGCCCAAGTTTCTTTGTTACATTTTCAGTAAGTATAATTTGTTTCTAAAGATTTTAATCACTTTACAAAAAAATCGTCAACAACTGTGTGAAGTTGGAAAAGAAGGCTTCTAAAAATATTTTTTTCATGAAGCACTTTACCAATGTGTCATAAATTATTTTTGGCTTGAAACATTATGGTATAAACTTTACTATTTTGGGTGGTTCCATATGTTCTGTCTTGTGACATATTTTATTAAAAAGTCACTTCAATAAAAAAAAAGGCTCCCTATTATCTGAATCTAGGGTTCACCCATTCTCTTCTATGGTAGTTTCAAATTATAGTTTATCAGAAGACTTTCACTAGCTGACTGGTGTGTTTCTTTAGGTGGGAGTGACCTCTCAGAAGACTATGAAACTACTTCCTGCCTCAAGACATAGAGCAACACAAAAGGTACAGTGTAGATACTGCTTTCTTCACTTCTCCCTATCTCCCATAAAAGAGGGGCTCCTATTCTTTACTGGTAAATTATTCTTTTAAAAATGTTAGTGTTGGCTGGCGCCACGGCTTACTTGGCTAATCCTCTGCCTGCGGCACTGGCACCCTGAGTTCTAGTCCTGGTTAGGGTGCCGGATTCTGTCCTGGTTGTTCCTCTTCCAGTCCAGCTCTCTGCTGTGGCCCGGGAGGGCAGTGGAGGATGGCCCAAGTGCTTGGGTCCTGCACCCACATGGGAGACCAGGAAGAAACACCTGGCTCGTGGCTTCTGATCAGCACAGTGCGCCGGTTGTAGCGGCCATTTGGGGAGTGAACCAATGGAAGGAAGACCTTTGTCTGTCTTTCTATCACCGTCTATAACTCTGTCAAATAAAATTAAAAAAAAAATAATTAAAAGAGTAATTTGAACAGAAGACCAACTACCAAGGGACTTTTATAGACTGTCCTTTTCTTGGATATTAAAAATTATTATGTATGATTAGTAAATAATGTAAGTGACCTTGTTAAAAAATATTTACCAGAGAAGGAACATTAGACTAGTATTTAAGACACCCCACATTGGACTGTCTGGGTATGATTTCCAGCTCTGATTCCTGATTACAGCTTCTTGCTGATGAAGATCCAGCGAGGCAAAGTTGATGGTTTAAGTAATTGGGTTCCTGCCACCCAGGTGGAAAACATGTATTGTGTTCCTGAAACGTGTATTGTGTTCCTTGCTCCTGGCTGTGGTTCAGCTCAGCCATTGTTGCATCTTGGGAGTGAATAATAAATAGGAACTCCGTCTGTCTCTTTCTCTCTACCTCCCAAATAAATAAATAAAAACTGAAAAATAAAATCCTTACATCATTTTTATTCTTTTGTGTGTACCAGATTGTGTATTTGGAGAAAGAAATATAAAATAGGAATAGAGAAAATGCTTACTTTAAACTTTGTAATACTTTTTAAGAGTCATTAATTATTTTGATACCAAACTTTGTATTTAACAGTATTGATTATTTTTATTGAACTATTGGTCCCATGATTTCCATAAAACAATTATAATTTCTTGGTAGATTAGTTGGATATTTTAATAACTGTAAGATAAATACATTATCCTGATATATTAATATTTTATCATGATAAATTACAGATTTCTGATCATCACAGTCTACTCAAGCAATACTTTTCAAACTGTTTGGTCTTAAGACCCCTTTATACACTTAAATTATTGAGGACACCAAAGAATTTTTGTTTGTAGAGGTTACATCAACATTTGCTGTTTTAAAATTACAACTCTTAAATGTGTAAGATTTTCTTTTGGGGCTGTGTTGTGGTGGAATGGGTAAAGCTGCCACCTGCAATGCCGGCATCCTATGTGGGCTCTTGTGGAATCCTGGCTGCTCCACTTCCACTCCAACTCCCTGCTAATGTGTTTGCAAAAGCAGTGAAGGATGGCCCAAGTACTTGGACCCTTGCACTTATATGAGACACCCAGAAGAAGCTTCTGGCTGCTGCCTTCAGACTGTCCTAGCTCTGGCTGTTGCGACCATTTCGGGGGTGAACCAGTGGATGGAAGATCTCTCTGTCTCTCCCTCTCTATCTGTAACTCTGCCTTTCAAATAAATAAATAAATCTTAAAAAAAAAAAAAGATTGAGGCTAGCACTGTGGCTCAGGGGTTAACGCCCTGGCCTGCAGTGCCAGCATGCCACATGGGCGCCGGTTTGAGTCCTGGCTGCTCCACTTCCGATCCAGCTCTGCTGTGGCCTGGGAAAGCAGTAGAGGATGGCCCAAGACCTTGAACCCCTGCACCTGTGTGGGAGACCCGGAAGAAGCTCCTGGCTCCTGGCTTCGGATTGGCACAGCTCCAGCCATTGCAGCCAACTGGGGAGTGAACCATTGGATGGAAGACCTCTCTCTCTCTCTGCCTCTCCTCTCTCTGTGTAACTCTGTCAAATAAATAAATCAATCTTTAAAAAAAAAGATTTTATTTTGAAGATAATAATCCTATTTCATGTTGCATTTTTATGAAAAACAGCTATTTTTTAAAGCGAAGATTTTGATGTTTTATTTTTGAGAATTTTTTAATGTGTGGCATATACAAAGAAAGGTAGATGGTCATATCTGATTTCTGCATTCAATCTGTCAGGATATGTTGTTTTGGTTATAGTATATGAAGAAAATCCAACCTCAACAGATACATAGTTGAAAATAGGCATATTTAAATAGCTTTTCTAGTTAATTATGACTCTTCCTATTTGATATTACATGTAAACTTGATATATAGTAGTTGCACCATGGACTCTAAACCATATTGGTGAACTTTTCATACTTTGATACATTAAAATCATTGATTTTTTTCATGCATAATTTTATAGCATCTAGTAATACTTAAGATTGTTGGTTCATTGTTACATGTATCTTCTAATGTTGATATATTTTAGGATACAATTATAGAATATCAAATTTGTTAATATCCCTACTGATATCGTCAGAAAAGTTAAGAATTTTGAAGCTGTCAAATTCATAGTAGCAATACAAGTCTTCATTTTAAAGCTCATTTTTTGTTGTTGTTAAGATTTCTTTGTTTTATTTGAAAAGCAGAACTAGAAAGGGAGAGACAGAAATCCTCTATTGGCTGGTTCACTCCCCAGATGGCTGCAACGGCCGGTGCTGGGCCAGGCTAAAGCCGTAAGCCAGGAACTTCATCCAGTTCTCCCACTTGAGTGCAAAGGCCCAAGCACTTGGGACATCTTCCGCTGCTTTCCCAGGCACATTAGCAGATAGCTGGATCAGAAGTGGAACAACTGGGATTCAAACTTGCACCCATGTGGGAATGCCAGCATTGCAGGTGACAGCTTAAATGGCTGTGCCACAATGCTGGTCCCATAAAGTTCAAATTTTATCGTTGATGACAAATAATGTCAGCTGTTTTCCTTTGAAATGACAGACTTACTTTGGGTTTTAAAAAAATGTCTACCAAATACCAGATGTTAATAACAATAGTTTTTAGTCATTCTTTATTTCTCAAAAATTTGTTTCTTGAAAAATGCAGATAGTTTATCTCATTACTGAAACAATTAAAAAAAAACATAATTACACAATTGCTTTTCCTTAAAACTGCTTCAGTATTTAGAAGTGCTTTATATAACCAACGGCAAAAGGAAGACCTTTCTCTCTGTCTCTCTCTCTCTCTCACTGTCCACTCTGCCTGTCAAAATAAAATAAAATAAAATAAAACAATAAAAAAAAGAAGTGCTTTATGCATATTTCCTATTTTGTTACACTGAGTATTAAAAGGATATATAATCAGGCTGGCACCGCGGCTCAGTAGGCTAATCCTCCGCCTTGCAGCGCCAGCACACCCGGTTCTAGTCCCGGTTGCCCCTCTTCCAGGCCAGCTCTCTGCTATGGCCCGGGAGTGCAGTGGAGGATGGCCCAGGTCCTTGGCTCCTCCTGGCTTTGGATCAGTGCGATGCGCCGGCCACGGCAGCCATTGGAGTGTGAACCAATGGCAAAAAGGAAGACCTTTCTCTCTGTCTCTCTCTCTCTCACTATCCACTCTGCCTGTCCAAAAAAAAAAAAAAAAAAAAAAAAAAAAGGATATATAATCAAGGGTTAAGATTTAATAAAATTAATAATTTTTATTGTTTCATTAAGGACATTCTTATGAGAAGCTGTATTTTTTTTCTGCTATCAAATAATAATGATGATTATTAGTGACCACTTTATACTCTGATGTTATTGCTGATTCTTGTCAGACACTGCCATTTTTACCCATTGTTTTTGCACCTTCATCACAAATATCAACCAAAAGGAAAAGGAAAATGAAGATTTATTATTATTTTTTAAAATAGTTTTTTTAAAATAGTTTTAACCTGTGACACCGTAGATTAAAGCCACGGCCTGCAGCGCCAGCATCCCCTACGGGCATCGGTTCGAGTCCTGACTGCTTCACTTCCCATCCAGCTCTCTACTTTGGCCTGGGAAAGCAGTGGAAGATGGTCCAAGACCTTGGGTCCCTGCACCCACATGGGAGACCTGTAAGAAGCTCATGGTCCTGGCTTCGGATCAGCTCAGCTCTGGCCATTGCAGTCATTTGGGGAGTGAACCAGCAGATGGAAGACCTCTCTCTCTCTCTGGCTCTACCTCTCTCTGTAACTCTGTCTTTCAAATAAATAAAATAAATCTTTAAAAAAAATAATTTTGACTTGTTAGCTCTCCTAAAACATTCTCATTTACCCCCAGAATTCCAGGGATCACACTTTGAGGATTCCTATTAATCAGCTACAATTTTATAAGTTCTTGGGATAGTATATTGTCAAAAAATTCAAATCTTAACTAGTCTTACTTATTTTTGTCTGAAAATAAATCTCTGACAATAACAAATATCTGTAAATCCCCTGAAAATGTGTGTCTAATTTTTTTATGAATGTTCCTTGTTCTTGGGAGATAGTACACAGCTGGTATCACACCAAGGGGTTTTTGTTCCCCAAGAAAGTTAAGAATTAGTGGCCCAAGAACATGTTCTGTGTATTGCCAGCCTTTTGATTTTTGAAATTGATTTTATACCCTAACATATATCAATTTTCTAATATTTTGTATGATTGAAAAGAATATGAATATTCTGATTCTTGAAATGAGTGATTTATTTATATAGGAACACAGTTCCCATTAAATACATGAGGAGACTTCAAAAAGTTAAAGGAGGGGCTGGTGCTGTGGCATAGTGAGTAAGGCTGCAGCCTATGGCACCCAGCTCCCCTGTTGCAGCCATTTGGGGAGTGAACCAGTGAATGGAAGATATCTCTGTCTGCCTCTTCATCTCTCTAACTCTGCCTTTCAAATAAATTAAAAAAATCTTAAAAAACAGTTAACAGGGGCTGGCGCTGTGGTGTAGCAGGTAAAGCTGCCGCCTGCCATGCCTTATATGGCATCCCATATGGATGCCAGTTCAAATTCCTGCTGCTCCACTTCTGATCCAGGTCTCTGCTTGTGGCCTGGGAAAGCAGTGGAAGATGGCCCAAGTGCTTGGGCCCCTGCACCAGCATGGGAGACCCGGAAGAAGTTCCTGGCTCCTGGCTTCGAAATGGTACAGCTCCGGTCATTGTGGCCAATTGGGGAGTGAACCAGCAGATGGAAGACCTCTCTCTCTCTCTGCCTCTCCTTCTCTCTGTGTGTAACTCGGACTTTCAAATTAAATAAATAAATCTTAAAAAAAAAAAAAACAGTTAACAGAAAACAGAATTAAAAGGTAAAAATATAACCTGTAGTTCTCAACATAAGCTCCATCAAGTTCAAGCTACTTTTGTAAGCAATATTACAGCCATTTAGTTCAACCTGAAAGAATGGAGGGTCCTGGAAATTTAATCATGTCAAAGCAGTCTTTTTTATTACTATTATTAACTGAAGGAAATGGGTACCCTTTAAAGATTTATTTTAAAGATATATTTTAAAGATTTATTTACTTATTTGAAAGAGTTACATAGAATGTGAGGCGGAGGCAGAGGCAGAGAGAGAAAAAAAAGAGAAAGGGAGAGAGAGCTTCCATCCACTGGTTTACTCTCCAAATGGCCACAGTGGCTGGGGCTGGATCAGGCTGAAGCCAGAAGCCAGGAGCTTCATCCAGGTCTTCTGTGTGTGTGCAGGAGCCTAAGGATTTGGGCCATCTTCTGCTTTCCCAGATACATTAGCAGGGAGCTGGATCAGAAGTGGAGCAGCTGGGACCTGAACTGGCACCCATATGGGATGCTGGTCCTGCAGGTAGCAACTTTACTGGCTACACCATAGTGCCAGTATCTCTCTCTCTCTCTCTTTCTCTCTCTCTCTCTCTCTCTCTCTCTATATATATATATATATATATTTGTATATGTATATATATTTAGATTAGGAAATAAAAAGAAGTCAAAAGGATCCAAGTCAAGAATGTGAGGTTGATTCCTAATTATTTCCCATTAACAACTCAGAAAAATTGTTTGATGAAAGGAATAAGTAGGAGCATTGTTCTGGTAGATTTCTCTGGTGAAGCTTTTCTGAGCTAAACAAAAAAAAGTTTATGCTAACCTTTGGTTAGCTTTATCAGAACACTCTGTTAATAAGTATTCATTTTTTGGTCTTCCAAGAAGCCAACAAACAAAATTCCTTGAGCTTCCCAACAAATTGTTCCCATGATTTTGCTCATCACCAGTCCACTTTTGCTGTTATTGGACTACTTTCACCTCATCCTGGTAGCCATTGCTTTGATTTTGCTTTGTCTTCAGGATTGTACTGGTAAAACAATGTTTCAATTCTTGGTCTAGTTCTTTGAATAAATCTTTTATTTTAAAAGTTCTGCTCTTGACTGCAGCTGATCTAGATATAACAGTTTGGCCACTTGTTCACCAGAATGTTTGCTGCAGTTTAATTTTTAGCCAGGACTCAATAAGCTGAACCAGTTGAGGATCTATTATGTTGGCTATAATTTCTGATGTTAATTGTTAATCTTCAATTTGGGCACCAACAAGATTAATTTTTTGTCCCATATTGAATGGTCTGCTAGGTGCTTCATATTCAGTGTTATCTGGTCCCTTCTTAAATTATCCATTTGCAGATTGTTGATTTCTTTGTGGCATTGTTCCCATACATTTTTGTAAAACAACAACGATTTCACCATTCTTCCACATGAGCGTCATCATAAATTTGATGTTTTTGCTTTAGTTTAGCAGAATTCATTTTTCTGTGATAGAGGATCCTTTTTTTTTTTTTTTTAATTTGACAGAGTTAGACAGTGAGAGAGAGACAGAGAGAAAGGTCTTCCTTCCGTTGGTTCACTCCCCAAATTCACTCCCTAAATGGCCTCCGTGGCCGGCACTGTGCTGAAGAGGATCCTTTCTAACTGGATCCTGTTCAGACAATTTATAAAAGGTTTATTTTGAAGCAAAATGTGAAATCCATGCATAATGTTTTTGTAACATGCATTTTCCATGAACTTTTTGAGGGTTCCTCAACTGTACATGCACACATAGAAACAGACACATGTATATTAGGTAAAAGGTAATTGTTTCTGTAATATCTTTTGTCTGCTTGATTATCTGTCTCTGAGAAAAAAGTGCTAAAATTTCGCTCTATGTTTATTTCAAAATAATCCACTGGCCATGTGTTAGTAATTGTTGAATGATGTTTTGTGTACTTATTCATTTGCTCAACATTTCCCATTAAAAAGGTTTTAGAGATTATTAAGCAGTTTGATCACAACCTTATTTGATAGTCTGCTATGAAAGTTAATTTAACTTTTGCTTTAGTTAAGAAAAAATTATTTTTGCCATTTTGGGCCATATGTTCTTAAATTAACCTTCTAAGAACAAAATAGGAGGGTAAGTTCATGGAAAAATGGAAATTAAAAGTTAATTTTGGAGGCCGGCGCCGTGGCTCACTTGGCTAATCCTCCTCCTGTGGCGCCGGCATCCAATATGGGCACCAGGTTCTAGTCCCAGTTGCTCCTCTTGCAGTCCAGCTCTCTGCCGTGGCCCGGGAAGGCAGTGGAGGAATGGCCCAGGTCCTTGGGCCCTGCACCCACATGGGAGACCAGGAGGAAGCACCTAGCTCCTGGCTTTGGATCGGCGTAGCGCCGGCCATAGTGGCCATTTGGGGGGTAAACCAATGGAAGGAAGACCTTTCTATCTCTCTCTCTCACTGTCTATAACTCTACCTGTCAAATAATAAATAAATACATTTAAGAAAAGTTAATTTTGGTGCAGAAGTTTTGAAATCCATGCATAATTTTCTCATAATATACATTTTTCATGAACTTTTTGGATACCTCTCATATGCATAAATTTCAAAAAAAATTTGCACTGAAATAAACGTTATTTTCTAATTCTATTTTCCGTGAATTTGAAGTTGCCAATAACTTTCATATTGATTCTTCATAGTTTCTCTTTTAGCCCTTTCTTACTCTTCAGAGGAATAAAGATTTTTTTTAAATTATTTTTATTTGAGAGGTAGAGTTACAGACAGAGAGGGAGAGACAGAGAGGTCTTTCACCTGCTGGTTCACTCCCCACATGGCTGCGATGGCTGTAGTTGAGCTGATCTGAAGCCAGGAGCCAGGAACTTCATTCTGGATCTTCCATGTGGGTGCAGGGCCCAAGCACTTGAGCCGTCTTCCACTGCTTTGCCAGGACACAAGCAGAGAGCTGGATCATAAAGAAGAGCATCTGGGACATGAAGCAGTGCCCATATGGGATGCTGGTGCTGCAGACAGAGGCTTAACCTACTATGCCACAGCTCTGGCTCCACGGAGGATTAGTTTTTGTGGGAGTTGTTTTCATAGATATTCTTACCTCTCTACTTTTTTTTTTTTTTTAAGATTTATTTATTTATTTGAAAGGCAAAGTTACAGAGAGGCAGAGGCAGAGAGACAGGTCTTCCATCCGCTAGGGCCCAAGGACTCGGACCCTCTTCCACCACTTTTCCAGGCCATGGCAGAGAGCTAGATGGAAAGTAGAGTAGCCAAGGGACTGGTGCTGTGGTGTAGTGGGTAAGGTTGCTGTTTACAGTGCCAGCATCCCATATGGGTGCCAGTTCAAGTCCTGGCTACTCTACATCCGATACAGCTCTCTGCTATGGCCTGGGAAAGCAGTAGAAGATGGCCCAAATCCTTGGGCCCCTGCACCCATGTGGGAGACCCGGAAGAAGCTCCTGGCTCCTGGTTTTGGATTGGTGCAGCTCCGGCCATTGCAGCCAAATGGGGAGTGAACCAGTGGATGGAAGACCTCTCTCTCTCTCTCTCTCTCTCTCTCTCTCTCTCTCTGCCTCTCCTTCTCTCTCTGTTTAACTCTGACTTTCAAATAGATAAATAAATCTATAAAAAAAAATAAAAAAAGGAAGTCAAGCAGCCGAGACTCAAACTGATAGTGCCCATATGGGATGCTGGCATTGCAGGTAGCGGCTTTACCCACTATAACAGAGCACCAGCTTCTGATCTATTTTTAAAGTCATAATTTATTTATTGAGAATCTTGCTTTTCTCATAAAGGACATAGTTATAATAATTTTGGATTCTCTTCAATCTATTACAGGTGGTTATTGGAGACAATGATGGGGTAGTTATGTGCTTTGGCATGAAGAAAGGAGAAACAGTGGTAAGTATAGCTTCAATGCAAGTGAGAAAAGCTTTTCTTTCTCTTCTTTTTACATTTATTTTACTGGGGGCCAGTGCTGTGGCATAGCGGGTAAAGCATCCGTTATGGGCACTGGTTCAAGTCCCAACTGCTCTATATTTGATCCAGCTCTCTGCTATGGCCTGGGAAAGCAGTAGAAGACTTGGGCCCCTGGATCCACATTGGTGGCCTGGAAGAAGCTCCTGGCTCCTGGCTTCAGATTGGCGCAGCTCTGGCCGTTGCAACCATCTGGGGAGTGGACCAGCGTGTGAAAGTCCTCTCTCTACCTCTCTGTAACTCTGCCTTTCAAATAAATAAATAAATCTTTAAAAATATTTACTTATTGAAAGGCAGTTATAGAGAGAGGGAGAGATATCTTCCATCTGTTGATTTACTCGCCAAGTGGCTGCAATGGCTCTGGATGGGCCAGCCTGAAGCCAGGAGCCAGAAGCTTCATCTGGTTTTCCTACATGGGTTCAGGGACCCAGGGACTTGGGCTGTCTTCTGCTGCTTTCCCAGGTGCATAATCAGGGTGCTGGGTCAGAAGTAGAGGGACTGGCACTCAAACTGGTGCCCTCAGGAAACATTGGTGTTCCAGGAGGCAACTTAACCTGCTACGCCATAAGACTAGCCCCCAACAAACTTTTCTAAATGAAATGTACTACTTGTTGAATACTCCTAGGTTAAAAATTTTTCTAAAATACAGACAAGGGAGAAGGGGTTGTGAAGGCCCACATGGGTGCAAGGGCCCAAGGACTTAGGCCATCTTCTACTGCTTTCTCAGGCCATAGCACAGAGCAGGATTGGAAGTGGAGCAGCTGGGACTCAAACCGGTACCCATGTGGGATGCTGGCACTGCAGGGGCAGTTTTACCTGTTTCACCACAGCACCTGCCCCAAGAGATTAATTTCAAAGAGATGATTAGGGACCAGCCTTGTGGTGTAGCAGGTAAAGCTGCCCCCTGTGATGTTGGCATCTCATAATGGTGCCTGTTTGAGTCCCAGCTGCTCTACTTCTGCTATCCAGCTCCCTGCTAATGTGCCTGGGAAAGCAGCAGAAGATGGCCCACCCATATGGGAGACCCAGAAGAAGCTCCTGGTTCCTGCCATCTGTCTGGTCCAGCCCTGGCTGTTGTGGCCATCTGGGGAGTGAACCAGTGGATGAAAGATTTCTCTCTGTGTCTTTCCCCTCTCTTTCCCTGTGACTGTGCCTTTCAAATAAGGAAAAATCTTTTTTTAAATAAAGATGATTAGGCCGGTGCTGTGGCTCAATAGTCTAATCCTCTGCCTTGCGGCACCGGCACACCGGGTTCTAGTCCCAGTCGGGGCACCGGATTCTGTCCCGGTTGCCCCTCTTCCAGGCCAGCTCTCTGCTGTGGCCCGGGAGTGCAGTGGAGGATGGCCCAGGTGCTTGGGCCCTGCATCCCATGGGAGACCAGGGGAAGCACCTGGCTCCTGCCTTCAGATCAGCGTGGTGCGCCGGCCGCAGCGGCCATTGGAGGGTGAACCAATGGCAAAAAGGAAGATCTTTCTCTCTGTCTCTCTCTCACTGTTCACCCTGTCTGTCAAAAATGAAAAAAAAAAAAAATGATTAAAATGTGAAAATGGTATCTGGTGGACCTAATTAAAGATTTTGATACTTAGGCTTTCCTGTGGATAAGAATATTGCTTAAAACAGTGCTTCTCAAACTTTAATGTGTATAGGACCAAGCTGGGAAATCTTGTTAAAATGCTGATTCCCATTTGGTAGATCTGGTGTTGGACCTGAGATTCTGTATTTTCATAAATTTAGTGATGTTGGGGCTGGTGCTGTGGTGCAGCAGGTTGAAGCCCTGGACTGCAGCGCCAGCATCCCATGTGGACATGGGTTCAAATCCCAGCTGTTTTACCTCCAATCCACCACTCTGCTGTGGCCTGGGAAAGCAATAGAAGATGGCCCAAGTCCTTGGGCCCCTGCACCCACATGGGAGACCCAGAAGAAACTCCTGGCTCCTGGCTTCAGATCAGCTAAGCTCTGGCTGTTGCAGTTATTTGGGGAGTGAACGGGTAATGGAGGACTTTCTCCCTCTCTCTGGCTCTACCCCTCTCTGTAACTCTGTCTTTCAAAGAATAAAATAAATCTTAAAAAATTTAGTGCTGTTAACAGTGATGATTAGTGAACCCTACTTAGAAATATAAGAGTATAGACTTCAATTAGGTCATTATTATGTATGTAGAAATATTTTCCAAAACAACCCCCTGAAGACCTGAATAGATTTTTACTTTTTTCTTTTTTTAAAAGATTTTATTTATTTATTTGAGGGGTAGAGTTACAGACAGTGAGAGGGAGAGACAGAAAGGTTTTCCATCTGCTGGTTCACCCCCCAAAATGTCCGCAACATTCAGAGCGGAGCTGATCCAAAGCCAGGAGCCAGGAGCTTCTTCTGGATCTCCACATGGGGGCAGGGCCCAAGCACTTGGGCCATCTTCTACTGCTTTCCCAGGCCAAAGCAAAGAGCTAGATCGGAAGTGGTGCAGCTGGGACTCAAACCAGCACCCATATGGGATGCTGGCACTGCAGGCAGAGGATTAACATGCACCACAGCATTGGCCCCCTGAATAGGTTCTTATCTGTGGTTGTTTCTATGTATTAGAACTCTAATATTTTATAAATTTAAAATCATAGTGTATTTTATGGTAAAGGAAAATGCTTACAATAAAGAAACTTGTGTCTTACCATTTGTTCCATGAATGATGTTTGCAGACTGTGTTCAAGACTTTACCAGGCCTGAAGATCGAGAGGCTGGAACTAGGAGGGGTTCTGAACACACCTCAGGAGAAGATTTTTGTTGCTGCTGGATCTGAGATTAGAGGCTTCACAAAGAGAGGAAAGCAGTTCCTCTCTTTTGAAACAAACCTCACTGAAAGCATTAAAGCCATGTATGTTTATTATTCTCTTTTTTATTTTTACCTATGTATTGATAATATTTTAGATGTAGAGCAACTTATTAACTAACATATCTTAAGTTTTCTGGAAAATAAAATTGACTAAAGTATTTTATTAATCAGAAACTAAGTTTAACCTAGACTCAACACAGAATTGATTGGCTGCTAAAGTGTTGTTTTCTTTTAAAACTTTATAGTATTTATAACTTGCTTCAGTTGTGATTCTTGATCAGGCAATAGAGAAAACATCCTCAGGATATTTAGGTTCATATTCTTTAATTGTCTTTGGTAGCTCTGGGTTTTAGGGAGCAACATTATATTAAAAGGCTGACCTTCAAAGTTTGTGACTACCAGAAGGGTATAATTTCAGGTAAATCTTGTAAGACTCACAGAAAAATAACTCCTTTAGTGGTCTCCTGATATGTGAAATTTTTTTTTTTTTGAAAAATTTTAGCTTTTGAATCATTTGATGGGGGACAGGGCAGTTAGAAAGGGCTTTAAATTTAGTTAATCTGATTTGCAGTTTCTTACACATGCTACTTAGGAGAATCCCTTGGGAAGCTTGGGATTACTTTTCCTATCTCATACTTGCTGAATCAGAATAATCAAGATTGGTTTTTTTTTTTTTTTTTAGAAAACAGTGCGTTATTTGAATCTGATACAACTAATTTGTACAAACAACCAGACTCCTAGATTTGGAAACTGAAATTTGTATAATTCCATATAATGCACAGCATATCTCCTGATATTTGGGCTACAAAACTGTGTCTTGAAAAGATTAGATCAAAATTTAACGACAGATGGAAGTAATTTCAAGTGTTTTAACAATGTAACACTTTTGATACACTCTTGTACACAGACATGGCCAAAAATAATGGTGAAACAGTGAAATCAAAGTAATTTATTAACTAGAATATCCCTATGTTCAGAGAGGTTATATATACAGGTAAGAGGAAAATAAGGAGTTTCCCATTAATACTCATATTTTCTTTACTTTCTTAAATATTTTTGCTGGAATGGCAGAGGTGGAATTTTAAGGTATTTTATTTAGGTTTTGAAAATTTATTATTTATTATCTTTTTCTTTAAAAGATTTATTTATTTATTTGAAAGGCAGAGTTACAGAGAGGTAAAAGCAGAGAGAGAGAGAGAGGGGGAGGGAGAGAGAGAGGTTCATACCCCAAATTGCTGCAGCGGGCATCACCGAGCACTTCCTAAGCCAGGAGCCAGGAGTTTCCTCAAGGTCTCCCTTGTGGGCACAGGGGCCAAGCACTTGGGCCATCTTCCACTGCTTTTCCAGGTCATTAACAGGGAGCTGGATCAGAAGAGGAACAGCTGGGACTTGAACTAGTGCCCATATGGGATGCTGGCGCTGCAGGTGGCAGCTTTACCTGCCATGCCACAACGCTGGCCCCCAAAATGTATTATCTTAATCTGAACATTTATAATGTTTCATAGGAAAATAAAAGTTAAAACTTCAAAATATTTGGTAAGGAAACTGATCACTTAAAAAATGTTTATCTCATACATCCTTCCCTGCTCAATGCTTTCATCTATTCCTCACTCTTGTCAACAACAGTGATTGCTAAATAGTGCTTTGGCTATTATAATGCATATTGACTTCAAAATGGACTTGCAGAGCTTGAAAAAGATATAGAATTTTATAAAGTTGATAAGAATGATATTAAATGTGTGTGTATATAGGGTGTGTGCAGTGAGGTGAGGAGCAGGCATTTGGCACAGAAGTTAAGACACTGGTTGAGATACCTGTGTACTGTATTGGAGTGTCTGGTTTGAGCCCCAGTTCCTTTGTTTCTAATTCAGCTTTCTGGTCATGTTCAACCTGGAAGGCAGCAGATGATGGCTTCTGCCAACCACACGGGAGACCTGGATTGAGCTGCTCTGTGTTCCTGTCTTTGGTCTCACCCAGTCTTTTTGTTGTAGCATTTTGGGAGTGGATCAGCAGATGGGAGATTTCTCTCTGTTTCTCTGCCTTTCAAATAAAATGAAAATAAATAAAAATTTTAAAAGTAGCCCAACTGTGGCGTAGTAGGTTAATCTTCCACCTGAAGCACTGGCATCCCATATGGGCACCAGTTCTAGTCCTGGCTGCTCCTTTCAATCCAGCTCTCTGCTATGGCCTAGGAAGGCAGTGGAGGATGGCCCAAGTGCTTGGGCCCCTGTACCCACGTGGGAGACTGGAAAGAAGCTCCTGGCTCCTGGCTCCTGGCTTCGTATTGGCACAGCTCTGACCCTTGTGGCCATTTGGCGAGTGATCCAACAGAAGGAACACCTTTCTCTCTATCTCTCTCTCTCTCACTGTCTGTAATTTTGTCATATAAATAAATAAAATCTAAAAAAAGAAAAATTGTTTTTTGATATAGTAATTATCTTCAGATAATCACATTTTCATTATTTTTATTTTTGGATTTTCTGAGCTCAGTCTATTGAATGGCCCAAGGATTTAAGATCCTCATTTTCAGTTTTCAGTCTTATGCCCAAAAGCCAGAAAATTGAGTGGGGGAAATGAAAGAAAATCATGTTCAATATGGTAAAATTGTAGTGAACTGTTTATTTTTTTGTTTTCATTCTTTCTTCTTTTTTTTGAAGACTTATTTATTTATTTGAAAGGTAGAGTTAGAGGGGAAGGTGGGATAGGGAGAGAGATTGATTTTTCCATCTTCTGGTTCACTCCAAAAATGGCTGCAGCAGCCAAGGCTGAGCAAAGCTGATGTTACGAGCCAAGAAATCCATCCAGATCTCCCATATTTGCTGCTTTCCCAGGTGCATTAGCATGGAGCTGTATCATAACTGGTGCTCATTTGAGATGCTGGTGTTAACAAGTGGTGGCTTAACCTGCTGCTGCTGCGTCACAACACTGGCACCTAGTTTTATTTTCCTCTGAAAAAAAGTCAGGAGTGACCTATGCTTATTTTTTAAATGTGGCTGTGTTAAATTGTTATTTTAATGTTCTCAGGCACATATCTGGCTCAGACCTCTTTCTCAGTGCAAATTACATCTATAACCATTATTGTGACTGCAAAGACCAACATTACTACCTTTCTGGGGACAAAATCAATGATGTCATCTGCCTTCCAGTGGAAAGAGTACCACGTATTACACCAGTATTGGCCTGCCAGGACCGAGTGCTCAGAGTTTTACAGGTTACCATTATTAGTATTTTTTTAACTTTGTGTAATTTACATAAGTGAATATTGATGAATGTTGTGCACTTGAGATAAACTGTTTCAGTGATTACTATTTAAGTGTTCTATATAAAATTTTTCTGGAAAAACATTTTAATAATTGGTAAATTGATTTATTTTTACTTGAGGCAAGTGTGTTGAGATTTTTTACAAGTTTTTAGGAGCAATATGTGGAAGAAAAACGTTGCTTTTCCCATCTCCAAACACAATTTCTGAATTAGTACAATCAGAATTGGATATTCCTAATACAGAGAACCCTCCTGAGCTTTTTGGCTTTACAATTCGTTAGCTTCTTATTTCACCCTCACTTCCCTCCAAAAAATCAAATTACAGGAAAAAATTGGATTGGGGAGCCGGTGCCGTGGCTCAATAGGCTAATCCTCCACCTAGCGGTGCCAGCACTCCGGGTTCTAGTCCCGGTTGGGGCGCCGGATTCTGTCCCGGTTGCCCCTCTTCCAGGCCAGCTCTCTACTGTGGCCCAGGAGTGCAGTGGAGGATGGCCCAAGTCCTTGGGCCCTGCACCCGCATGGGAGACCAGGAGAAGCGCGTGGCTCCTGGCTTCGGATCAGAGTAGTGCTCCGGCTGCAGCGGCCATTGGAGGGTGAACCAACGGAAAAAGGAAGACATTTTTCTCTGTCTCTCTCTCACTGTCCACTCTGCCTGTTGAAAAAAAAAAAAAGGAGAATGTTTTAGTATTTTCTCCTTGATTTTTACATTTTATACATATATTATTTTCAAAAATGTTAATATATATAAAATTACTAACAAATACAAGTTGATATTTATGACCTAATTTTTTCAGCAGTTTTATTCTAGGTGTTAATAAGAGTACTGTATTTGAATATTGATGTTATTTATATTATTTTAAATTTGTAAACCGTTTGGATTTTTAAATACTTATTCTCCTTTTAGGGATCTGATGTAATGTATGAAATTGAAATTCCTGGCCCACCAACCGTCTTAGAACTATACAATGGAAATGGCGGTAATCAAAATCTCATTTTACTCAATCATCTATATATTATTAAAACATTAAGTGAAACAGGAAATTGTGTATTGAACATGAACTAGAACTGCAACACTTTTTTTTATAATAACTTGTCGGTAATGAACAATAATGGGTTACTGAATTTTGATTTTCAGTTTCTTCATCTAAAATTAGATGATGGCAAAGGGTTTTAACTTGTAGAGTTAAAAATATGTAAGTGTTCTTCCAAAGTTTTCTTATAATATTTAAAAAATTAGATTTTTTATGTGAAAACACTTTTAAGTTTAAAGAGAGATTATGAATTATGGGATAAATGTAGTATGTTTGATTTCAATTGTAAACAGGTAACTCTGGAGAGGACATTTTGTTTGGAACATCAGATGGAAAACTTGGGCTTATTCAGATCACTGCATCTAAACCAATACACAAGTGGGAAATTCGAAATGAGAAGAAGAGGGGAGGTATGCTTTTGTTGTAGTTCATATTCTGAAATTTCAATGATTATGAAACAAAATAGATTATAGATTATATAACTTTTATTGGCCGGCGCCGCGGCTCACTAGGCTAATCCTCCGCCTTGCGGCGCCGGCACACCGGGTTCTAGTCCCGGTCGGGGCTCCGGATTCTGTCCCGGTTGCCCCTCTTCCAGGCCAGCCCTCTGCTGTGGCCCGGGAGTGCAGTGGAGGATGGCCCAGGTGCTTGGGCCCTGCACCCCATGGGAGACCAGGAAAAGCACCTGGCTCCTGGCTCCTGCCATCGGATCAGCGCGGTGCACCGGCCGCAGCGCACCAGCCGCGGCGGCCATTGGAGGGTGAACCAACGGCAAAGGAAGACCTTTCTCTCTGTCTCTCTCTCACTGTCCACTCTGCCTGTCAAAAAAAAAAAAAAAAAAAAGATTATATAACTTTTATTTATTCACATTATATAGCAGATTTAGCAACTCATAGAGCCAATTCTGAATTTATCTGCTATTTGTTTGTTATCACATCTGTCATACTATTGGAATACTAAGTGAGAAATGTTGATAGTAATTTGGGATAGACAGGATTTTAAAGGCTAATGTGCATCATTCTTTGCTAAAATCCATTTTTCATGGTCTGAAATAGAGAATTAGTTGGAATCTAGGAGTACTTATAATGAGGCAAAGAAAAAATACAGTCTGTGGGTCAGGGAATATTCATATTTCCTAGGGAATTTTTTTTTGTGTTTACTTACTTTAATAACAATATGTAGATCATGCTATCACCATGGAATGTAAGTTCAGGTTAGACAAGAGATTTCACAACTGCAATAATGTATCCTGTAGTATATCAAAGTTTGTGTATAATGTCTGACCAACCAGCTTGCTCATAAACTATTGATCACTTCCACTATAGGTAATTTAACATTTATGAGTCTTACACAGAAAATTAAAAAACACTGCACACATTTTAAAAGTGTTAATTTACCTTTGTATTAGCAGTTAAAATACATGTTTCTATTTCAAGGTGACATTTAGAAATTATGCTAGTATAACAGCAGCAAAAATATAATTCTGCAGTTTTTACAAAAGAGCTAACCTGGAATCCATAATTAAATTAGTCTCACATCTACAAGTATGATTCTGAAATAAATACTACTATGCAGCTGTCTTAAAAGCTTGCTACCTTTTGTTTGTGTACACACACAAGTACACACACACACACATTCAGGTGTGGGAGGCTTTACAAATTATATTCCATGAACTTTTTGAAAAAGAGTTCTTTAAGAGATAACCAATCCCAAAAACTGAAATATTCATCCAGTCTATGAGGCAGGCAGAAAAAAGTGAATTAACTGGGTAAACAGGACTCCTTTCCAACACACGAAGCATGTGACACTCTGCAGCAAACTGGGAGTAACTTCAGCATTGGCCTGCTGTGATCTTTAGGACTAATTTCATCACAAGGGTTGGGGTGGAGGGAGAACATTTTAACACCAGGTGTAAAATGTGACATTGTGTTAACCTGACTCCCCGAGGGACCTATTAGTGAACTAGTCACTAATAATTTGGTCACGAGGAGGTCCATATTCAAAATACCATGTATTATTGTCTAAACCCACTCAAATTATTTATTTTCGATATAACACATAACCTCAATATGAGATGTCTAACTAAAGGAAACATCTCCAACAAGGCCAAGCCAGCATCTCTTCTAAGGTTTAGGTTTCACCCAGAATTCCCGATACATGGAATAGCCCATACCAAGAGTCATTGCTCCTACAACAAAGCCTTGAGCCGCCACACGCATGTGAATGAGGTGAAGGGACATTTTCGTATTTCCCCTGCTCTTCAGTTTGTACAGTCCATATGCAACAATCGCTGCAAACCCCGCCATTCCAATGGGGACAAATGGTGCCTCTTTAGCTTTTTGGATAAGTTTGGATCCCTGATCTTCATCATATGAAGAAAGAGAAACATCTGTATTGGTTGACATATTGGTTGTTTGAAGACTCTTCTGACTGCAACAACCCCAAAAACCCTCCAACCGGTTTTCCTAGGGAATTTATCTGGGAGAATTTATTCCCGAATTTGTAGGTGCTAAGTTTTTTATTGATATATTCATTTATTGTTTCAACAAATGCTTGTTAGGGGAGGCAGAGTGAATACATAGGTAGCTTCACCTAGTTACCTCCAGAAGATACAAGGGATAGTGCATTAGTGAATGATTGTGGGAAGAGGAAGGCACTTTTAGATTGAGTGGTTAAAGAATGCCTCCTAGAAGAGGTGGAAATTTGAGCTGTGATTGATAAGAAAATGTGTTAGAAATTTGAGGATTTGAGGAAAAGAATGTTCCAAGAAAAGGAAAAAAATCAATGGAAAAAACTTGAGCAGAAGTTAGCCTAGTCTAGGCTAATGGTAGCTGGAAGAAGAAAGAAGGAGATAATTTCAGTAAATATCACAGAGGGAGAGTATATAATTTGCTAGTGGATCTGATATGGGGAGTTGAGAAAAAGAAAGGAAACAAGATGTAGCCTCAATTTTTGGCGTGTACAACTGAGTGATGTAATTTACTGAGCTGGAGAGAGACTGAGAAAGAAGTAATCCTAAAGGCATGTGGTGAAGAGAGAAATCACAAATTTTGTTTGGGGCATGGAATGTTTGAGATACAGGTGTGTGTGCAAAGATGCCAATTGGATATATGAGAATAGAGCTCTGGGGCGGAGCCAGAGCTGGAGGGAGCTGTAAACTTGATGTCAGTGCCACATATAATGCCCTGGAAAGAGGATGGAAAGAGAAGGGCACTGAATTATGCTCAGAGTCATTTTTTATACCCATTCTGAGTTGGTATATTCTTGACTACAACCATTAGTTTTTTTTTTAATAACTATTGTGTATCTTTTTTAAAGGTGTTTTGTGTATTGACAGCTTTGATATTGTGGGTGATGGTGTTAAAGATTTACTTGTTGGGAGAGATGATGGAATAGTGGAAGTGTATAGTTTTGATAATGCAAATGAGCCTGTTCTACGATATGATCAGGTGAGTTCGTTAGAAGAATACTATATATGCTTATTATTCAACAAATTATTATAGAGATGATTAATAGCTTGAATTTGAAGTGAAAATATATTAAAATCTTGTGCTTGGTTTAAAATATCATTATTTTGATTTTATCAAAATCTTTAAAACTACTCAAGTGTGTGAGTAATAGACTATTGTCTTTGAGCTGAAAAATAAATTATTCTTTCATTATACTTTAGAAATTATTATAAATTTTAAAAGCATTAAATGTTTTAGTTTCTATAATATATAACAATACATTATGGGAATAACATTTGTATTTTTTGGTAACATAAGTGAGGCTTTTTTTTTAAGATTTATTTATTTATTTTGAAGGCAAGTTACAGAGGCAGAGAGAGAGAGAGGTCTTCCATCTGCTTGTTCACTCCCCAAATGGCTACAATGGTTGGAGATGGGCCTGACTGAAGCCAGGAGCTAGGAACTTCTTCCGGGTCTCCCAATCGGGTGCAGGGGCCCAAGCACTTGGGCCATCTTCTGTGCTTTCCCAGACTGTAGCAGAGAGCTGGATTGGAAGTGGAACAGCTGGGTCTTGAACCGGCGCCCATATGGGATGCCAGCACTGCAGGTGGCAGCTTTACCTGCTAAGCCACAGCACTGGCCCTGAGACTGTTGTTTTAAAACAAAGTTTAGGAATGAACTTCCTATCATTAGGATAGTGTCAGAAGTATCCTTAAAGTGTGAAAAGTAGCAGTTTACTTACAGGTACTCAAAGGCTAGCTGTATGAGAAAAAATACTAGAGATAAGTTTGCAGACTTTAATGTGATTCCGTTTATTTATGCTGAATTTTTATTTATATAGAGAAGCATGCTAGTGTAAATTTAATCTTTCATTTTCATAAACAGGTGTTCTCCAACCCAGGGCTTCCACATCTTGCTTCATGCAGGATCCTTTGAGACTTGTTTTTAGGAAAAAGGAAAAAAAAAAAGAGAGAAAGAAAAAAGTCAGGGACAGGTAATGGATTTAACAGTCAAGATGCTGCTTGGGATGCCTGCTCCCATAATGTAGTGTCTGTGTCTGAGTTTGAGTTGTGGCTCCATTTCTGGTTCCAGCTCTCTGCTGATTTGCACCTGGGAGGTAGTAGTGATGTCTCAAGATAATTGGTTCCTGCCATCATGTGGAAGACCCAAATTGAGTTCTGGGCTCCTGGCTTCAGCCTGGCCCAGCCCTGGCTTATGTGGGATTTTGGGGAGTGAAACAGCAGGTGGAAGATTCTCTCTGTGTGTCAGCATCTCATTGCAATAATCAGGGCTGTTATTATGATTAATAATTGTTTACTTAAGCTTGTATATTTGTCTTAATTATTTATGTAATGCTAATTATAATTATAGAAATTGCTTATGCATACAGCTTTATGATCACAGAAGATAATTTAAATTTATTTTTTTTGGTTATAGAGAAATATGAAGAAATATAAAAGAATTTTATATTAGTACATTGTATAAACATAAGAGCACATGGGAAAAGTGCAGTGAAAATAAAAGTTCAAGGAGAAAAAAATAGCAATGTAAAATTTCAGGTTTTAAAGAAGGATATATTTCTCCAGTTTTTAAGTCAATGACTGTATATGTAAATTTGTACTGCTAATTAGATTCACTGAATATGATTAAAAGATGTTACAGTTTTATTTTAAAATATTGCTTACAACTTACAGGAACTTCATTTCTTGTAATTGTTTAAAGTTGTGATGAAGAATACAGATGTTTAAAATATGTAGGACAGTACATAGTTTTGTTCATAATTACTTTAGTGGGAACATGAACAAAAAAATTTTTGAAGACTTCCAGTATATGTTAAGTAAACCAGGACACTTGTCAAAAATGCGCCTTTTTTATTGTAAAGTAAATTAGGTATCCCACTCTAAAAAAATGAAACTTTTTGTAAATTATAATAAAACTTTTGTTACTTGAGTCTCAGGTAAGTAGCCTCAAGAATAACCAAGATAGCTTTGCAGAACAGAGTAGGTAAAGAGAGCTAGATAGAGTAGGTAGACAGTAGGTAAAGAGAGCCAGCTTTTTGTTTAGTTTAATACAAGTTTATGTTCCTTCTACCACCTGCTTTAAAATATTGGTTCTCAGCCATGCCTGACAGGAATTACCTCTCAGAGTTTTTCCAGACTACTAGTCAAAGCCTGTTAGTAGGTTGCTAATGTAGTTTTAAAAATTTTAATAGAATAGATTAGAATTCTATTAGAATATATCAGAATATAACACTGCCTTGTAAGTTTATTGTTGTGTGTGTTCATGTGTGAATACATACCAGCTTGCAATATAAATTTTATTGCTTGCTTCCCAAAAAAGTTGAAAGTTGGTGGCCTAGAATGCTTGTTAAAAAGACATATTATGGAGCCAGTGCTGTGGTGTTCTGAGGTGCCAGCATTCCATATGGGCATGAGTTTGAGTCCTGGCTCCTCCACTTCCAATCTGGCTCCTGCTAATGTGCCTGAGAGGGCAGCAGAAGATGGCCCAAGAACTTGGGCCCCTGTGTCCACGTGGGAGACTTGGGGAAAGTTCCTGGCCCCTGGCTTTGGATTGGCCCAGCTATGGTCATTGTGACCTTTTGGGGAGTGAACCAGTGGATGAAAGAGTTCTCTCTGTCTCTCCCCCTCTCTCTCTGTAGGTCTGCCTTTCAAAAAAATAAATGAATCTCAAAAAAAAAAAAAAAAAGACATACTGGTTGACTCATCTAAGACATGCTTGGGAGGGAACTATTGCTTGGAAGATGATACTATAAACCTTGAACCATCTGAAAACTTGATTTTTCTCAAAGTAGCAGATTCATATAGGCTTCTTTTAGGCTGTCTTTATTATTCACCTGAAAGATTCAGAGAAAATGCATCAGATTATGGAATTCAGATGGTAGACCAAACTTACTGGCAGTGTTGCTTATAATTTTTTTTATAAAAACTTCTTTATAGAAATAAAACTGTTTTTGCTTATTAGATGATTTTTTTAATTTTTAATTTTTATTTATTTATTTTTTTTTGACAGGCAGAATTAGACAGTGAGAGAGAGAGAGAGAGAGACAGAGAGAAAGGTCTTCCTTCTGTTGGTTCACCCCCGAAATGGCCGCAGCGGCCAGCACGCTGCACTGATCCAAAGCCAAGAGCCAGGTGCCTCCTCTTCCCATTCGAGTGCAGAGCCCAAGCACTTGGGCCATCCTCCACTGCCCTCCCTGGCCACAGCAGAGAGCTGGACTGGAAAAGATGCAACTGGGACTGGAACCCAGTGCCCATATGGGATGCTGGCGCAGCAGGCGGAGGATTAACCAAGTGAGCCACGGCGCCAGCCCCACTAATTAGATGATGCTTTAAAAGAGATTTATTTTATTCCTTTGTAAGGCAGAGTTACACACAGAGAGGGAGAGACAGAGATTTTCCATGCTCTGGTTCACTCCCCAAATGGCCAAAACGACCAGGGCTGGACCAGGCCCAATCCAGGAGCCAGGAACTTCTTCTGCGTCTCCCACATGGGTGCAGGGGCCCAAGCACTTCCACCCAAGCGCTTCATCTTCTGATGCTTTCCCAGGCACATTAGCAGGGAGCTGGATAGGAAGTGGAGCAGCTAGGACCCTTATGGGATGCTGGTATCATAGGTGGTGGCTTTACCTGCTGTGTCACAACTCCAGCCCCTTAGGTGATTAAACTGGATAGTACACACAAATATACTAGTCATTTTGAATATTCTTTCTCAGATTTAAAAACACTGGAAATTTCTGGCATTTGTTTAAGATATTTGTCTTTTTAATCTCAGTATCTACATATAATTAATATTAAGTATATGTTGAATGTCAGGAGGCACGTAAATAATTTTTGTGGCTTTAAAGTGAAACATTTAGGTATTAATGACGTTGTTGGGCTTGGATTTATTTCAGGTGTTGTCTGAAAGTGTCACATCTATCCAAGGAGGTTGTGTAGGGAAAGATGGCTATGATGAAATCGTGGTGGCTACATATTCAGGTAAAGTAAGTGATAATAGATAGTTCAAGAAAGAATCAATAACAAAAAATAACTAATTTGATAAATTGCTTTTGATGATTACTTTTTAAAAATCTATTTATTTGAAAGGCAGAGTTAGAGGGGGAGAGAGAGAGACAGAGAGACGGAGAGAGACAGAAAGTTCTTGTACTAGTTCACTCCCTGAATGTCTGCAATGGCCGGAGCTGGGCCAGTCTGAAGCCAGGAGCCAGGAGCTTCTTCTGGGTCTCCCACATAGGTTCAGGGGCCCAAAAGCTGAGCCAACTTACTCTACTTTCCTGGGCGCTTTAGCAGGGAGCTGGATCAGAGTGGAGCAGTTCGGGGCTTAAACTGACTCCCATATGGAATGCCGGCACTGCAGGTGTAGGCTTAACCTTCCATGCCACAGTATCAGCTCCTGAATAAGAGTATGTATCCTGTTTCAGTACCTTTGAAAATTAAGTGATTTTTGGGAGAAGGAGGGTTTAAAAAGAAGAATTTACTGAAATTAATAATAATTAAAACTTGATTATTTATGAGTAGCTAATTTTTGCAGTTCACAGTAGGTTTGTGAGAGCTTATATTTCCATGAAAGTAATTTTCAAAAGACTTTTTTTTTTTCTTTTTTGTGAGAGACAGAGTCCCGCAGCTTCCCCAAATGCCAACAGCATCCGTATTGTGCTGAGATTGGACTCAGGAGCAGGCATCATAATCCAGATCTCTTATGAGATTGGCAGGGACTCAATTGCTTGAATCATCACCCTGCTGCCTCCCAGGGCTTGCTTTGGCTGAAAGGTGGAGTTAGGAGCCAAAGCCAGAAATCGAATCTAGGCGCTCTGTTATAGAATGTGGTCATCTTAACCAATATGCTAGACACCTACTCCTAGCAATTCTTATTTATTAACGATTTTATTTATTTATTTATTTATTTTTATTTTTTGACAGGCAGAGTGGACAGTGAGAGAGAGAGAGACAGAGAGAAAGGTCTTCCTTTGCCGTTGGTTCACCCTCCAATGGCTGCCGCGGCCGGCGCACCGCACTGATCCTATGGCAGGAGCCAGGTACTTATCCTGGTCTCCCATGGGGTGCAGGGCCCAAGTACTTGGGCCATCCTCCACTGCGTTCCCTGGCCACAGCAGAGAGCTGGCCTGGAAGAGGGGCAACCGGGACAGAATCCGGCGCCCTGACCGGGACTAGAACCTGGTGTGCCAGCGCCGCAAGGCAGAGGATTAGCCTAGTGAGCCGCGGCACCGGCCTTATTAGCTATTTTTGAATTTGCTGGACTATGTTGACTTTTTTTTTTTTTTTTACATTTCAAAGGTTTTGGATCTTTATTACAATTACAAAAAGCCAATAATATAGTTTATTATTCTCCTATTTCAAGTCTTTGACTTTTTTTTTTTAACTTTTATTTAATGAATATAAATTTCCAAAGTATGGCTTATGGATTACAATGGCTTCCCCCCAATAATGTCCCTCTCACCCGCAACCCTCCCCTTTCCCTCTCCCTCTCCCCTTCCATTCACATCAAGATTCATTTTCGATTCTCTTTATATACAGAAGATCAGTTTAGTATACATTAAGTAAAGATTTCAACAGTTTGCTCCCACACAGAAGCTTAAAGTGAAAAATAATAGATGATTTTTTAAATGATGATGAAATCAGATCAGACCTATTGTCATGTTTAATCCCGACGATGTTGACTTTTGCCAACCTTGAAAAACAATTTGAAATTGTCAAAAACTAAAAGATTCCTTTAATCATAGTATTACAATATTTCAGGCAAAGAAGGAATAGTAGAACAAAAAAACCCAAGTAATTTCTTTATGGTTTGGATGTTTTTCAGCTTTGATTTTGTTTTCTGAAGAAGTCCTAGGGCTAAATTAGTTTGTTGGTGGTGGACAAAGGGGCATATATATTGGCGTTTCTGCTATATAATGTGTAATATAACTTTTTTAACACTAGAAACACTAAATGATGCAGGATTGTGATTCATCTCTACAGGCTGGGTTACAGGTCTGACAACAGAGCCCATTCATAAGGAAAGTGGACCAGGAGAAGAAGTAAAAATTAATCAGGAGATGCAGAATAAAATTTCTTCTTTACGGTAACTTTGAATTTTTTGTTTACTTTTTAAAATTTCATCTCATGGAATGTGTAGTTATTGCTTTTTATTATTTATAGATGTACCATATTTTATTAGAAGAAATGATACAATAATCACCTTCTAAAGTGAATGTTTGGGGCTGGCTTTGTGGTTCAGTGGGTTAAGCTACCACCTGGGACACTAGCATTGAATATAGGTGTGAGTTTGAGTCCCGGTTGCTCCACTTCTGATCCAGCTTCCTGCTAACACGTGTGGGAAAGCAGTGGAAGGTGGCCTAAGTCCTTGGGCCCTTGTACCCAAGTGGGAAACTCAGAATTCCAGGTTCTTGACTTTGGCCTGGCCCAGCCCTGGCCATTGTGGCCATTTGGGGAGTAAACCAGCAGATGGGAGATATCTCTGTCTTTGTCTGTCCCTCTCTTACTCTACTTTGCCTTTCAAATAAATACATAAATAATTAAATTAAAGTGAATGTTTATGGATTTGAAAAAAATAAGAATTGTGTAATGTTTTGAATACTTTTTCTAGAAGTGCATTTTCTGTATTGACTTTCTTAGATCAAGAATTGTATTTTTAATTGTTTATCTGTATATGGTTTTGTTGTTTTTCACAAACATTAGAAAGGAAGCAAGACAGATGACTATTTTTTATGAACTCTTGTTCAGTGTTCCTGTGGACCCTTTTGAATCTGTAACTGTGGCTTATTTGTTGTCTTACTGGAAGTGAGTAATGTTGGCTCCTTAGATGCAGGGATTGCTTTCATGGCCTGCTCAACCTGACATGTCCTACAAAAAAGGACCCAAGACTCATGTAAAGTTGCTTCATACAATGATGTGACAGTTGCTGAAACTTTTTTTTTAAGTATTTATTTGAAAGTTAGAGTTAAACAGAGAGAGAAGGAGAAGCAGAGAGAGAAAGAGGTCTTCCATCCACTGGTTCACTCCCCAGGTGGCTGCAATGGCCAGAGCTGTGCCGATCTGAAGCCAGGAGCCAGGAGCTTCTTCCGGGTCTCCCACGTGGGTGCAGGGGCCCAAGGCGTTTGGCCATCTTCTGCTGCTTTCCCAGGCCATAGCAGAGAGCTGGATTGGAAGTGGAGCAGCTGTGATTTGAACTGGCACCCACATGGGATGCTGGCACTGCAGGTGGCATCTTTACCTGCTATGCCACAGTGTCAGCCCCAGTTGCTGAAACTTTTAATGGCTGCTCTTCCAACTTCACTCCTTGCTGAACCTCTTAGGTGAGTGAGGGCTGATTTTTTATATGTGTGTGTGATAATTGAAGGTTACAAAAATTTTTTAAGGCAGTAAAAATCACAAGTACTAGTAGCCCAAGTCATTTCACCAAAGCCACTGGGAAAGAAAACTCTAAATGTTCATGCAAATAAGTGCACCAGATTCTTTCAGGATATCCAAGTTCATGCAACAAGGATATTAGGTCAAATTAATGATTACTGTCTCACATCCTCAATGTAATTCCTTTTATTTATAACCAAATTACCCCCTCATGATTCCACTGGAATGTAAACTCTATGAGAAACTTATTTCTGTTCTATTTGCTCAGCACCTGGAACAGTGCTAGATACATATGAATAAATATGTAATATTTGGCAGTAAGTATTTCTTCAGTAACTTAATCTTCTTTGCTTATTGCACAAATCCCTCCTAAGCTTCTTCCCATTATTTTCCCCCTGGGTTGGGGCCAGCTTAGCTAAGTCTCATGTTATTCTATCTCAGTTACTGTTTACTTCATTTGCATGTGGATTTCCCCTTTAACTGGAACTACACTAAGCAATGTGTGTGCAGTTCAGTCTCAACACTTTGTAGAACTTGAGCTATGCCATTCACTGACTCATGATCCTTGTTATGGTCCCCAAATTGTTAATATTCTGCAGCTTCTTCATTCTGCCTTTCCCTCTTACTGTCCTTCATGTTGACTGGCTTCACGTTTTGTTTCTTCTCATACGGTCTTCTGCCATATTAGTTTCTCTTCTAATTAGTGCAGTTTCGCTTTTATAGCCAGATTTGTGTGTTAGAATTAATTATTAGCATCCTACCTTGATACTTACAGCTCTATTTGTTTTGTCGGCATGGGAATGAGTAGATGCTTTGATTTTTGGATTAGAAATAAATAATGTGTAATCATTTGGTCAGTGATAGAAACAAAAATCTTTTTCCTATTGGTGTGATAGTATTAGCCTAGCCAGTAAAAACATATTTTGCCAAACATAAGTATCTCAAATTTTTGTAAACATTATAAGGACATCATATTTTTGTATTTATAGGTGACAGTGTTGCATTTGCTTTCTTCCAGGAGTGAGTTGGAACATCTACAATGTAAGGTATTGCAGGAAAGAGAGAACTATCAAAAGTCTTCTCAATCAAGCAAAGCAAAATCAGCAGTACCTTCATTTAGTATAAATGACAAATTTACATTAAATAAGGATGATGCCAGCTACAGCCTTGTTTTAGAGGTACAGACTGCGATTGATAATGTCTTAATACAGGTAAACACAATATCTGATTTCTTGGTTTTATGATTAGAGCTGTTTTGTAAACCAGTAATGCACTAATTACTATTGAGTATTTTAAGTTTTAGACCGTAATTTTATGGCTTCTTAATCTTCCATTGGGTAATCGGTTTGCACACAGATTATTTGAATTTTACCGTTACTTAAAAAAACTTATCCTATATTTAACAAACAAACAAAAGATGGATGGAATTAACTTTTGGGAAGAGATCCGTAGGAGGATAGAGAATTTCTTCTTTGGCTACCCTCTGGGAGAATCTTACAGATATGTAGCTTAGAAAACTCCAATATTTAATATCTTTATTGGAACTTTAAAGAATTCTCCTAATACTAAAATGATAGCTGACAGTACAGCTTGCTCATTAACTCAATAATTTCTAAGTAGGCTAGTAGGCAAAGTATATAATCCCAAAGGGTGAAATTTAAGATAATCATGTATAACTCCATTCATCAATTTATATATGAATATAAATTGGCATATATTTTTTTTTTTACTTTTTTTTTTTTGACAGGCAGAGTGGACAGTGAGAGAGAGAGACAGAGAGAAAGGTCTTCCCTTGCCGTTGGTTCACTCTCCAATGGCCGCTGCGGCCGGCGCGCTGCGGCTGGCGCACCGCGCTGATCCGATGGCAGAAAGGAGCCAGGTGCTTTTCCTGGTCTCCCATGGGGTGCAGGGCCCAAGCACTTGGGCCATCCTCCACTGCACTCCCGGGCCACAGCAGAGAGTTGGCCTGGAAGGGGGGCAACCGGGACAGAATCCGGTGCCCCGACCGGGACTAGAACCCGGTGTGCCGGCGTCGCTAGGCGGAAGATTAGCCTAGTGAGCCGCGGCGCCGGCCCTAAATTGGCATATATTGAGAAGTAGAAAAGGATGGTAGTAGGATGAATAGAAAACAAGTATAAGATGGAAAACCCATCAGAAAATGAGGAAATAATAACTTGGAGGAAGAAGACAGATTTAAAAACAATGTGGTCGAGAGATCAGATTGTTAATTAAAACTTAAAGGCACAAAACTTTCTCATGTAATGTTAGCTCATGGACTGCTGCATTGAACAACTCTAGGAGCACCTTTCACACAGAACACTATGCATTAACTTTCTCCTAGAAACTACCTCCTAAAAGGGCACCAAAGATTATTTTCATTCTGTGTTACTGGTGAAATTAAAATTGATAAAAAGGAATTGATATCATAGCCATATGATTATCTATAGTCAATGGTAAATTTTTAATTACTGACAAAAATAGGAAGATTATGCTTTTAAGGGGGTGGTAAGAGATGATATTCTATGACTTGATAATCCCATTTACAAAAAATAGATGATTATAAAGTAATATTTATTCTTTGTTAAATTTATTTGCTGGAAGTATATACTATTAAATTTAAGAGAATTCATACTCTCAAATTTAAAGATGAACATAAAGGTAGAACTAAGGAGAACCCTTAGAGAAAAAACATTTTATGAACACTTTTAGGTTTCCTATGTGAACTTTTTTTTTTTTAATATTGACTATAGAGTGATGTTCCAATAGATTTACTTGATGTGGATAAAAATTCTGCTGTTGTGAGCTTTAGCAGCTGTGATTCTGAGGTGAGTAAAAAATATAGAGTCCTTCTCATGCTTTTATTTCTATTATACCATTTTTTTAAAAGATTTTATTTATTTGAGAGACAGTGAGAGGGAGAGATAGAAAGGTCTTCCATCTGCTGGTTCTCTCCCCAAATGGTCACAATGGCTGGAGCTGGGCCTATCCTAAGTCAGCAGCCAGGAGCTTCTTCTGGGTCTCCAGCCATCTTCTGCTTTCTCAGGCCATAGCAGAGAGCTGGATTTTTTTTTTTTTAAGATTTATTTTATTTATTTATTTGAAAGAGTTACACAGAGAGAGGAGAGGCAGAGAGAGAGGTCTTCCATCTGCTGGTTCACTCCCTAATTGGCTGCAATGGCTGGAGTTGTGCCAATCTGAAGCCTGGAGCCAGGAGCTTCTTCCGGGTCTCCCAGGCTAGTGCAAGGGCCCAAGGACTTGGGCTATCTTCTACTGCTTTACCAGGCCATAACAGAGAGCTGGATTGGAAGTAGAGCTGCCGGGCCTCAAATTGGCGCCCCTATGGGATGCTAGCGCTTCAGGCCAGGGCATTAACCTGCAGCGCCACAGTACTGGCCCCGAGAGCTGGATTTAAAAATGATTTGAAATTAAAATGTTTGAGTTTTCTTCTTGAGATTAGCATCTTTGTTATTTTGTCAGTTATTCATTAAATACAAAGTTCCTGCAAATATGGAATTGGAAGATAATTGTTTCTGGGGTGGGGACAAAAATTACGCAAACCGTGCCTATGAGGGATCTTTAAGAAGTTTGTGGAAATGCATATGAGGGAACATTCCCTAACCCCTCAGAGCCTCAGTTTCTTCATCTATTGAAACTTAGTAAAAATATAGTGCATAGTGTAGGAGTAAATGGGAATATATTTTAAGAGCACTTAACACAGATGATATGTTAATCAAGTAAATGATAATCATTATTGGTGATTTTTTGTGGATATAAACATGAGTTCATCTTTGTTTCAACTTTGAATTCTTCCTAGTCAAATGACAACTTTGTTCTTGCCACTTATCGGTGCCAGGCAAATACCACAAGACTGGAACTCAAGGTAAATAATGTTTGAAATTACCCTCACTTGAATGTTTGAACATTATTTTTTCCCTTGATATATCCTACAATATCATATAATTTATCTGCAGTGGATTTCTCCTTGAAATGAATAATTTTGGAGCATGACTTTACAGTGGTCAGTTAGGTGTTAATTTAGTAGAAATCACTATCTCTGCTGTGCATTATTTGAGAGAGAGAGTTACAGACAGTGTGAAGGAGAAACAGAGAGAAAGGTCTTCCTTCCATTGGTTCACTTCCCAAATGGCTGCAATGGCCAATCCGAAGCCAGGAGCCAATCTCCTGGTCTCCCATGTGGGTACAGGGGTCCAAGGAATTGGGCCATCTTCCATTGCCTTCCCAGGCCACAGCAGAGAGCTGGATTGGAAGAGGAGCAGCCGGGACTAGAACCGGCGTCCATATGGGATACCAGCGCCACAGGCAGAGGATTAACCCACTGCACCACGGCGCTGGCCCCAGCTAGCTGCTTTACTAGCTGCTTTACTTCTAATCCAGCTTCCTGAGAAGGCAGCAGAAGATGACCCAGGGGCCAGCGCTGTGGCGCAGCGGGTTAAAGCCCCAGCCTGCAGCGCTGGCATCCCATATGGGCACCAAGTGGAGTCCTGGCTACTCCTCTTCCGATCCAGCTCTCTGATATGGCCTGGTAAAGCAGTAGAAGATGGACCAAGTTCTTGGGCCCCTGCACTGGCCTGGGAGACCCGGAAGAAGCTCCTGGCTCCAGGTTTCAGATCAGCTCAGCTCTGGCCATTGCAGTCATTTGGGGAGTGCAGAATGGAAGACTTCTCTCCCTGGCTCTTTCTCTCTCTCTATAATTCTGTCTTTTAGGCCGGCGCCATGGCTCACTAGGCTAATTCTCCACCTGTGGCACCGGTACCCCAGGTTCTAGTCCTGGTTGGGGTGCCGGATTCTGTCCCGGTTGCCCCTCTTCCAGTCCAGCTCTCTGCTGTGACCTGGGAAGGCAGTGGAGGATGGCCCAAGTGCTTGGGCCCTGCACCCCATGGGAGACCAGGAGGAAGTACTTGGCTCCTGGCTTCGGATCAGCGCAGTGCAGCGCGACGGCCATAGCGGCCATTTGGGGGATGAACCAACAGAAGGAAGACCTTTCTCTCTCTGTCTCTCTCTCTCACTGTCTAACTCTGCCTGTCAAAAAAATAAAAAAAAAAAAATTCTGTCTTTCAAATAAATAAAGTAAATCTTTAAAAAAAGAAGAGAAGATGGCTGAAGTACTTGGGCCCCTGCATCCACATGGGACGTCTGGAAGAAGCTTCTGGCTCCTGGCTTCAGATCGGCCCAGCTCTGGACATTTGAGCCATCTGGGGAGTGAACCAATGGATGCAAGATTCTGTCTCTCTCTCTCTCTATTTCTGCCTCTCAAATAAATAAATAATTTGTTTTTTTAATAAAGAACAACATTACTATGTGGTAGAGATGAGGCAAAGTACTCTGTGTCATAGCTGATGAAAACATTATTTATAGCCATTTAAGGGAAACTATTTAACAGCAATAAAATTACAGTAATATATACGCAGATGTTGTATATAGTTAGTTACAGCATTTCTTGTACAGGCAGAAAAGTAGAATCAAACTAAATACTAATGATTATATGGTTAAATAAATATCTATTTATCTGTATAATGAAATAGTATACTACTAGTATAAAGAATGAGTTGATCTTTACCCATTACCATGGAAGGAATTCCAAGAAACAAAAGTGCAAATAGAATCTCTATGTGTTTAGATATGTTTTGTATCTGTAATGATACAAATATCAAGAAAGGTGTAAAACAGTCTGCTGTACCCATATGATGTAATAGGTTATATAATATAGGGAAGGCATAAATCAGATGGGAATAAGAGATAATGGTAATAGAAGAGGCAAAGATATGGGAGAACATATGAATATTAGAAATGAAAGATGTCTGTGATATATATAGAACTTATTTATGTGAAATTATGTAGTATTTGGTTTTTATACAAATGCACAGACATGTGAAAGGATAAATACCATAATAATAATAATGATCATCTCTAGGTGGTAGGGTTTTAGGTGATTTGTATGTTTTTTGTTGTTGTTGTTTTTAAGATTTACCTATTTATTTGAAAGGTAGAGATACAGAGAGATAGGGGGAGACAGAGAAAAATAGAGAAAGAGATTTTTCCATTCACTGATTCACTTCCCAAATGGCTTCAATGGCTTGGGGCTGGGCCATGCTGAGGCCAGGATCTTGGAACTTCATCCAGTTCTCCCACTTGGGCCATCTTTGCTGCTTTCCCAGGCACATTAGTAGGAAGTTGGATTATAAGTGGAACAGTTGGACTTGAACCTGCACCCATATGGGATGCCAGCATCATAGATGGTGGCTTAACCTGCTGTGCCACAACTGTGGTTCTGTGGCACAGATGGCTCCTGTGGTTTGTGTGTTTGTCCTAATATTTATTATTTGAATTTTAAAACAATGAGTATGAATTGTTATATTAATTCCTAAGAAAAAATTTTTCATATAAAATTGTTACATTCATTATTACAGTTTTTTGTTGTGAGAAAAATTCTGCTGCGAGTGTAAGTTTATACTTTTAAAATAAACCCTACAATGTAGGTTTATCAGATGTATTTTTTTTCTTTCTGTGTTTTTATTCATTCTCTCTTTTTAAGTTATTTATTTATTTATTTGAGAGGCAGAGTACAAGCAGAGAGAGAGAGAGAGTGACAGTGAAGTCTTCCATCTACTGGTCACTCCCCCAATGGCTGCAATGGACAAAGCTAGACCAGGCCAAAGCCAGAAGCCAGAAGCTTCTTCTGGATCTCCCACATGGGTGCTGGGGCCCAAGGACTTGGTTCATCTTCCACTGTTTTCCCAGGCCATCAGCAGAAAGCTGGATAGGAAGAGAAGCAGCCGGACTCAAACCAGTGCCCGTGTGGGATGCCAGCACTGTGGGCGGCGGCTTTACCCGCTACACCACATTGCTGGCCCCTCATTATCTTTTTTATTTTTTTAAGGTTTGTTTATTTATTTGAAAGGCAGAGTTACAGAGAGAAAGAGGGAGAGACAGAGAGAGAGAGAGAGAGAGATCTTCCATCAGCTGTTTCATTCCCCGAAATGGCCGGAGTTAGGCTGGTCTGAAGCCAGGAACCAGGAGCTTCTTGCAGGTCTCCCAAGTGAGTGCAGGGGCCCAAGCACATGGCCTGTCTTCTGCTGCTTTTTCAGGTTCATTGGGCAGGAGCAGGAGTGGAAGTGGAGCAGCCAGGACCTGAATTGTTGCCCATATGGATGCTGGCACTGCAGATAGCAGTTTAACCTCCTATGCCACAGTGCTAGCCCCTGTTAATTTTTTTATATTTGCTTTCTTTCTAGTCAGAGCAGTATTTGCAACACTTTAATCTTACATTAAAATTTTATTGACCTTTCTCATTTAGGTAAAACATTGATTTATTTTCCTCCCCTATGCCATGAAAGGTGTGAGTTAAAACATCAGATTACAGAAGTTACCTTTACGGAAACTACCACTCCATGCATTGCGATGGAGAGGAGCTAAAAGTTGGGCAGGAGGGAGAAGCTGGACAGCTTTCCCATTCCTTTTAAACTAACTTTTTACAATTTAGTGAATTATTGTTTTCTGTTAATTGTTGTGAATTCTCAGGTTATCCAACCAGCAATAGTCAAAAGAATTCTCCAGTATGTATATGCCATAATGAGATGATGGACATGCTTCTCTGTTTTCGTTGAAAGTCAGTTAATTTCTTGGAAACATATATTGTTCTATCAGACTCTTTAAACAATGGTAATGTGTTATACAGTACCCTCATTTCTGAAAAATGGCTTAGTTATTTTGACAGTTCACTTATCTTTTCAACAAAAATATCTTGATTCTAATCATTTTTCATATGACTCTAATAAAATATATAATAAACTTGTGTTTTTAGCTAAGGTAGAATATGAGAATGAATGTCTTAGAATGGCAAATGAAAATATGTGGTAAGTATAACATATACACTGGTTTTGCTACTAATTCCAAATCTCTCTCTCTCTCTCTCTCTCTCTTTTCTAAAGATTTATTTATTTATTTGAAAGTCAGTGTTACACAGAGAAAGACAGAGAGGCAGGAGAGAGAGAGAGAGAGAGAGAGAGAGAGAGAATCTTCCCATCTGCTGGTTCATGCCCCAGATGGCCAAAACAGCCAGCTCTGGGCCAGGCCGAAGCCAGGAGCTTCTTCTGGTCTCCCACATGGGTGAAAAGACCCAAACATTTGAGCCATCCTCCACTGTTCTTCCCAGGCCATCAGCAGACAGCTTGATTGGAAATGGAGCAGCCAGAGATAGAGAGAGAGATCGTCCATCCGCTGGTTCACTCCCTAATTGGCTACAAAGGCCAGAGCTGCACTGATCCAAAGCCAGGAGCCAGGAGCTTCTTCTGGGTCTCCCATACAGGTGCAGGGACCCAAGGATTTGGGTCATCTTCCACTGCTTTCCCAGGCCATAGCAGAGAGTTGGATTGGAAGTGGAGCAGGTGGGACTTGAACCACGCCCAAATGGGATGCCAGCACTGGAGGTGGTAGCTTTATCCACTACGCCACAGTGCCAGCTCCCAAATCTCTAGTTTCCTTTAACTCTAGTGACAAAAGGTAGTTTTTGAATAAAATGTTATTATATCTTTCAGAATAATTTAGAAGAAATCAAGGTATAAAAACCTGATAATTTGTGGTAAAAATTTTAAAGCTATATTGCTGATTTTTCTTATTTTCTTTTCTCTTTTGTGTTGAATAAGATTCGTTCAATTGAAGGCCAGTATGGCACACTTCAAGCATATGTGACTCCAAGAATTCAACCCAAAAGCTGTCAGGTCCGCCAGTACCAGATAAAACCTCTTTCACTCCATCAAAGAACGCACTTTATTGATCATGGCAGGTAGGACAAAGGGAAGAGCAGTTTAATTTTAGGACACTGTACCATTCAGATATTCTTGCCTTTTATTTTTATATTATAAATTATGGTAGTTATTTTACATTTAAAAATTAAATAAATGTGTGCTGTGCCACAGCACCAGCCCCAGGAGAATATTCTTATGAAAGATTTCTGGAAAACATTAAAAAAGAAAAGATTCTTCTCAGGGTGTCTTCCTACTTAAAAGTCAAGATTGGCATAAATGGAAGCAGCATGGTGGGCTAGAAAAAGCAGCAAACTAGAAATCAAGGCACTGGGATTATAGTCTGTTCCTATATAGCTTAGGGGAAATAATTTTTCTGAATTTTGTTTTTTGTCATTTGCAAATGCGAATACTAGCAAGGATGATCTCAAAAGATCCTTCTTGTTTTTTAGATTCCTTAATTCTGTGACTTTAAATTTCCTTCTGAATTTTCATTCTATAAACTGTTTTCTACTCTTTATAATTATCCATTTTTAGTTTAAACCTCTTTATTTTACCATTTTGCAAGATAGAAAGTATTATCCCATATAGATAGTATTATTCTCTGATTTGATGGAGGGTATTATTCTCTAATTTGCCCAGTGGCACACAGCTAGTACACAATGGAACATGGTTTCAAATCCATGCCTATTTTACTTAAAAGCCTGATTCTGTGCCTTCACATTCTGCTCATTCTTTCCAAAAGGAGAGTCTTGTGCATGTTTTGAAGTTTATGTAGTAGAAATGCTAGATGAACTTTTTAAAAAGAAATATCATTGAGTAAACCACATTTTATTTATAAAGCATGTTTCAATTTTAAAAAGCTAGTTATATGACTTAACTGAATACTAAAACATGTCACAAATGCAGCTTTGACAAGCAAATGTTTTCTTATGAAAATGAAGTGTTCATTTATTTGATATGTAAGATTAAACTGAGAAAAATTGGTTCTATTTGTTTAGCTACTATTGCAGAATTCTGCTTCTTAATATGTACATGTACTAGTTCTATGTATTTCCTCACACAAATGTGTACCTCTACTATCAAATTCCAGACCCATGAATACATTGACTCTAACAGGCCAGTTCAGTTTTGCTGAAGTTCACTCCTGGGTGGTTTTTTGTCTGCCCGAAGTTCCCGAAAAACCTCCAGCGGGAGAATGTGTGACATTTTACTTTCAAAACACCTTCCTGGATACACAACTTGAAAGTGTTTACAGGTAAATCGAACTTTTTACTGGTCTACAAGTGTTATTTTATTTAAATGGAGCTTCTAGGTTTTCATTTAACAGGAATAATTTGAAAATAACAGGATTGAAAACCTATACTATTCAAGACAGTCTATTGAAAAACAAATAGAATTAATTAGAATTTAATATAATTAATTAATTAGAAAAGTAATTGAGAGGCCAGCATTGTGTTATAAAGGGTAAAGCCTCTGCCTGTGATGCCAGCATTCCAATAGTTGCTGGTTCCAGTCCTGGCTGCTGCACTTCCTATCCGGCTCCCCACTTATGGCCTGGGAAAGCAACAGAAGATGGCCCAAGTCCCTGGGCCCTTACACCCATGCAGGAGACCTGGAAGAAGCTCCTGGCTTCAGACCAGCTCAGCCCCAGCCATTGCAGCCATTTGGGTAGTGAACCAGTAGATGGAAGATCTCTCTCTTTCTCTCTCTTTGTCTCTTTCTCAATAAATAAATATTAAGAAAGAAAGAAAAATGATTGAGTAGGGGCTGGCACTGTGGCATAGTGCGTAAGGCCACTGCCTGCAGTGCTGGCATCCCATCTGGGTGCTGGTTCAAGTCCCAGCTGTTCCACTTCTGATCCAGCTCTCTGCTATGGCCTGGGAAGGCAGTGGAAGATAGCCCAAGTCCTTGGACCCCTGCACCCACATGGGAGACCCTGAAGAAGCTCCCGGCTCCTGGCTTCAGATTGGTGCAGCTCCAGCCGTTGCAGCCAATTGGGGAGTTGAACTGGTAGATAGACTTCTCTCTCTCTCTCTGCCTCTCCTTCTCTCTCTGTGTAACCTTGACTTTCAAGTCAATAAATACATTTAAAAAAAAAAAAAAAGATTGAGTAAAGATGAATATGCAAAGATCAGTACCTTTCCTTAATTGTTAACAATTAGTGAGAAAATAAATTGTTTAAAAAAAGTTTTCTGGAGTAGCAACAATAGTAACAAAAATCTCACAGAAAACCTGTAGGAATATTCTTAATTTTATATATATATATATTTATATTTATATATATACACACACACACACAGAACTTACATGAAAACTGTAATCTTTTCTCTCAGTTTCTTAATAGTAGAGGCTAAACTATTTCCTCTCCTTTTTACCTATTGCTGAATGTAAAATAGGCTAGTTCTTTGTACACCTGCTCTTTGAGATTGGACCCTGTTGTTCTTCAAGGTATTTCCATTCTTTTTTTCTTATATCTATGGGTTTTTTTTTTTTTCAGTCTATTTTGCTTTGTTTTTTTGAGGGGGAGGAGGCAAGCTTATCCTTTTTCTGCCTCTGCCTCTTAAAGATTATTTCTTTAAGTAAATTGTTGAGGATTTCTGCTTCCTAGTTGAGACTTTACCATGCTGAGTTCTAGAAACAGCAGTGAATATGTAATTTTACCATAGAATTCAGTCTTTTGGGACAAAGAACTCTTAATAAATCTAACTGAATTTAGTATCAGTAATACGGGCTTGTTTCATTGTGCCATCTTAGGAGTGTCCAAACCTAAATAATTACTCATGTTGTGAAGTGCCACAGTGAATCTGCCACAGTGTCATAGCAAACAATTTAACGTGGTCCTAGCATCTAACATATTTTTATAATAGCATGTCTTTGCTCTTTACCATTCTGTATCTTTTTAAACTGTTGTTAATTTTTATTTCTTTATTTGAAAGTCAGAGAAAGAGCTCACATCTGCAGATCTATTCCCCCAGTGCCTGCAATGGCCAGGACTGAAGGCACGAGCTGGAATGTGATTCAGGTCTCCCATGTGGGTAGCAGGAACCCAATTACATGCTGTCTCCCAGGGGGCACACTGGCAGGAAGCTGGAGACAGAAACTATAGTTAGGATCTGGAGCTAGGAATTGAACCTAGGCACTCCAGTGTGGGATTGCTAAATACCTACTTCCCATTCTGTTCCTTTAACTTCTTTTAAATAGTCTTTGATTTTAAAGATTTATTTGTTATTTATTTATTTGAAAGGTAGAATAACATGGCCTTAATAAGTAGGACTCGGTCAAGCTGAAGCCAGGATTTAGGAATTCCATGCACATCTCTCACTTGGGTGGCAAGGACTCAAGTACTTGAGCCATCATCTGTTGCTTCCCAGATTTATTAGCAGGGAGCTGGATCATATGTGATATGGCCAGGACTCAAACTGGCATTCTTTTTTTTTTTTTTTTTTTTTTGAGTGGACAGTGAGAGAGAGAGACAGAGAGAAAGGTCTTCCTTTGCCGTTGGTTCACCCTCCAATGGCCGCCACGGCCGGCGCACCGCGCTGATCCGAAGGCAGGAGCCAGGTGCTTCTCCTGGTCTCCCATGAGGTGCAGGGCCCAAGCACTTGGGTCATCCTCCACTGCACTCCCTGGCCACAGCAGAGAGCTGGCCTGGAAGAGGGGCAACCGGGACAGAATCCGGCGCCCCAACCGGGACTAGAACCCGGTGTGCCGGCGCCACAAGGCGGAGGATTAGCCTAGTGAGCCGTGGCGCCGGCCTCAAACTGGCATTCTGATAAGGGATGTGGGTGCCCCAAGCAGCTGCTTAATCCTCTGTGCCACAGCACCTCTCCCTAAATGCCCTTTTCTTAACACTCAGAACTCACTTATTCTTCAAGGCCTAACTTAATAGCTATATTTTTGAAAACTTCTTTGATTCTTTTTTCTGTACACATAACATTTTATTCCTACCTGTCTTTGGTATTATTTGAAGTATATAATAATAATTTTTTGTGTGTTTCTCTCTCTAAGATCATATCCTAATGGAGAGAGTCTATTTTTAATTATCTTTTTATGTATCCTCAAGTACTTTATACATGATTTTGCATACAACATGTACTCAATAAATACTTTTCAGGTACCTGACTAAAAATACATGTATAGGAAAGTGTAGTATGCCTTGGAGGCAAACATACTTAAGTTTGAATCTTGGCTCTGTGACTTACCATCTATGTGACCTTAGCTAGTTACTTAATGCTCTTATTTGCAAGTTTCTTTTCTGAGGAATGGAAATAATGGATTATTGTGATGATCAAAAAAAGATAAACCATGTGAGTCATTCCACAGTGCCTGGCAGCCTGTGTTCATTAAATAGCATCTGTTAAGATTAAATAGTGGTGAAATTTTCACAATTTCTAAAATGTAATTGGGATCAAAATAGTAAGGGTTTATTATTCATCTTTCTGTAACAAAGAGCATTTGCCTGCAGCTAGTTGATATAAATGATTTGTGGTAAATATTAATTAGGAAACTTTTGTTCATCATAAAAAGAAATCAAATATTAGCAGCCTTAACCAAATAAAAGGAATTTATCAGCTCACATCACTTAAAAAGTATAAACAGTGATTTGGCTTAGGCACAACTGGATCACTGGCTTAACTGAGATTTCATCAAGACTTATTCTGGGGCTAATGTTGTGGTACATTGGGTTAAGCTGCTGCTTATAATGCTGCATCCAGTGCTGGAGCGCTGGTTTGAAGTCCTTCTGATTCAGCTTCCTGCTGATGCTCCTGAGGAGGCATGGGAAGGTGACCCAAGTACATGGGGCCCTCTCACCCTTGTGAGAGACCCCAGTGGAGTTCCTGGCTCCTGACTTCATCCTGGCCAAGCCTTGACTGTTGCAGTCATTTGTGTGGTCTTTCTCACTCTCTCACTCTACCTTTTGAATGAATGGATAAATAAATGAACTTAATAAATAAATATTTTTTAAAAAAGACTTTTATTCCTTTCCATTGCTTGGTTCTGTTTTTGTCTTTTTTGTTTGTTTTACCAATAGAGTGGCTTGGTGGCCACCAGCAGCTCTGGAATCCAACCTTAAATCTTCTCAGCTTCCATAGCAGCTTTTTCTTATTATTTCCTGTAAAAGTCCCAGGATTGAGAGTCTTTTTTTTTTTTTTTTTTTGACAAGGCAGAGGAGTTACACAGTGAGAGAGACAGACAGAGAGAAAGGTCTTCCTTCCATTGGTTCACCCCCCAAATGGCCACTACGGCCGATGTGCTGCGCCGATCCAAAACCAGGAGCCAGGTGCTTCCTCCTGGTCTCCCATGTGGGTTCAGGGCCCAAGCACTTGGGCCATCCTCCACTGCACTCCAGGGCCACAGCAGAGAGCTGGACTGGAAGAGGGGCAACTGGGACAGAACCAGTGCCCCAACCAGGACTAGAACCCAGGGTGCTGGCGCCGCAGGCGGAGGATTAGGCAAGTGAGCCACGGCACTGGCCAAGATTCAGTGTCTTTGTTAAGCCATGAACCACTCTGGTCAGGGCTATGGAAAGTATTGCTAAATGCTTCCTCCTGACATTGCAGAAATGAATTGAGACCAGTGCAGTGAAACTATATGACCTGAGAAGGGTCAGGGGAGAAAAAGAAGGCATGGCTTGTTGAAGAAAAATAGAATACTGTGATTGCAAACAGTAGCAACAGATGCTAGGCATGGAAAAACAGATAAAACAGATATCATTCTTTTAGGTTTGATAGAAGATTTCTTTTCAAGATGGAGCTTATAGTCATAATGTAATTTGAGTAATTGCACCAAAGAAAGACCAGTATATATTCTTATATACCAGTAAGCAGTTCTAAATGTTTTTTTTTTTTTTTTTGACAGGCAGAGTGACAGTGAGAGAGAGAGACAGAGAGAAAGTTCTTCCTTTTGCCATTGGTTCACCCTCCAATGGCCGCCGCGGCCGGCGTGCTGCGGCCAGCGCACCGCGCTGATCCGATGGCAGGAGCCAGGAGCCAGGTGCTTTTCCTGGTCTCCCATGGGGTGCAGGGCCCAAGCACCTGGGCCATCCTCCACTGCACTCCCTGGCCACAGCAGAGAGCTGGCCTGGAAGAGGGGCAACCGGGACTAGAACCCGGTGTGCCGGCGCTGCTAGGCGGAAGATTAGCCTAGTGAGCCGCGGCGCTGGCCTAAATGTGTTTTATATATAAGAGGTTAGCTATTGGAAATATGAGTGAAGATGAAAAAGTTATCTTAAATCAATTATATAAATTGTCATGTCTTTAGGAGGCATACGTCTAACATCTTCAATTTCATGAATATGTAGTAAAGGGTTTTTTTTTTTAAAGACTTATTTATTTATTTATTTGAAAGGTAGAGATATAGCGAAAAGGAGAGACAGGCAGATCTTTAATCCTCTGGTTCACTCCCAAAATGGCCACAATGGCCAGGGAAGGGCCAGGCCAAAGCCAGGAGCCAGGAGCTTCTTCCAGGTCTCCCATGTGGGTGCATGGGTCCAAGGACTTGGGCAATTTTGTACTGCTTTCCCAGGCCAGTAGCAGGGAGCTGGATCAGAAGTGGAACAGCTGGGACTCCAACCAGCGCCCATATGGGATGCCAACACTATAGGCAGAGGCTCAACAGTCTATGCCACAGCCCTGGCCCCAGGATTATATTTTTAAGTATGCTTTATATTAATGAGATAAACACACAAAGAAATAAAAAAAATCAAGTGAAACATAAATACTGAGGACTAATCATAAAATATGTATTTATTGGGCCACTTCTATAGCTCTTTTTTTAAAAAACAAATTAATTTTTATAGAAAAGGAGAAGGAGTTTTTAAATCTGACAACATTTCTACTATATCCATCCTGAAAGATGTGCTCTCTAAAGAAGCTACAAAAAGGAAAATTAACCTCAACATATCATACGGTAAAAAAAATTAGTAATTCTTTCTGATTTTTTGTTGTTATAATAATGATGTTTCTGATCAGTATGACTTACCTAATTATACTTGGCCCAACTCCTTCTAGAGATAAATGAAGTGTCAGTCAAACACACTTTAAAGCTAATCCATCCAAAGTTGGAGTACCAGTTGCTTTTGGCCAAGAAAGTACAATTAATTGATGCTTTAAAAGTAAGTATAAGTGTCATAAATTCATGATCATTACTATGAGTATTGATATTTCTATAAATCAATAATGCTACACTGGACTTAATTTTGAACTTCTTTTTTTAATTTAAAATAAGGAATTGCAGGTTCATGAAGGAAATACAAACTTTCTGATACCAGAATATCGCTGTATTCTTGAAGAGGCTGATCACCTACAGGAAGAATATAAAAAGCAACCTGCACATCTTGAACGACTTTATGGTTAGTAGACCATTCTGGAGTAGTCTTGCTATATTTCTTTTCAACTGGCCCTTTGCCAAGGATCGTGTGTGAAAAACTGGGAAAAATGAGACAAGTAATTTACAATGCATTAGAGTTTAGACTCTATTTCACACAAATATTGTTCAGGTGTTATTGCTATTGTGAAATACAAAAATGCTGCATTTAAATATTTTTAGACAAAATTTAATGAAGGATATATATATACATATATATATATATGCTATGTCAATTTACACTTCAAAACTCATTTTGGTAGTGAAAAGTTGGGTGTTTCACAAGTTGTGCTGATAAAGAGAAAGAATAAAGGAGATAAGGGAAATGAGAAAGGAAGGCAGGCAGGGAGGCAGGAATAGCTTAAGAAACAATTTTGTGGCCGGCGCCGTGGCTCAATAGGCTAATCCTCCACCTTGCGGCGCCGGCACACCGGGTTCTAGTCCCGGTCGGGGCGCCGGATTCTGTCCCGGTTACCCCTCTTCCAGGCCAGCTCTCTGCTATGGCCAGGGAGTGCAGTGGAGGATGGCCCAGGTGCTTGGGCCCTGCACCCCATGGGAGACCAGGAAAAGCACCTGGCTCCTGGCTCCTGCCATCGGATCAGCGCGGTACGCCGGCTGCAGCGGCGGCCATTGGAGGGTGAACCAACGGCAAAGGAAGACCTTTCTCTCTGTCTCTCTCTCTCACTGTCCACTCTGCCTGTCAAAAAATAAAAAAAAAAGAGAGGGAAGAGATGTGCAATTCGGGACATGCTCAAGCTGACTTACCTCAAACGGTAGAGTTAGAAACATACCAGGGGATTCCAATTCAATCCCATCAAGGTGGCATGTACCAATGCCATCTCACTAGTCCAAGTGATCAATTTCAGTTCACAATTGATCGTAATGATAGGACTAAGAGCCAAAGGGAGCACACAAACAAGACTAGTGTCTGCAAATACTAGCTGATAGAATAAAAAAGGGAGAGAACGATCCAACATGGGAAACGGGATACACAGCAGACTCATAGAACGGCAGATGTCCTAAACAGCACTCTGGCCTCAGAATCAGCCCTTAAGGCATTCGGATCTGACTGAAAAGCCCATGGGAGTATTACAGGCATGGAAAGCCAAAACACTCTGGCAAAAAAAAAAATCTAAATGAAAGATCTCTGTGAGTGAGATCCCAGTGGAAAGAACAGGTCATCAAAGAAGGAGGTACCTTTCTCTGAATGGAGGAGAGAACTTCCACTTTGACTATGACCTTGTCTAAATATGATCAGAGTCAGTGAACTCAAAAGGCTTCC